TGGCGTAACCCGTTTGGCTGAGGGCCAACCTCCTGGCCGTTGGACGGGGAGGATAGGACCCCCATGCGACCAATGGGGCAGCTGCAAAGGTGGAGAGAGGGTGGAGGAGGGATGCAGAAAACGAACGAGGAAGAGGAGTGAGTGACGTTTGATATTTATGGAGACTGGTTGCTTACGTCAGGATTAGTGAGAATTGCAGCAGCTGTGTCGAATGAGCTCGGCTGCTTTCATTCCTCCCGAACTTTCATTAAAAACTCCATTGAATAGTAAAATCATTTTTCTGCAAGCTTCTTAGAAACTTCATTTCCACAGCTTTTCCATTGTGGTCACTATAAAACCAGAATAGATACTCTTGGTTAAGGGAACGTCAGAGCAGCTGGGGTCAGTTTTTTTCTGAAGCAACTAAAAAAGTAAAACCTTCAATTCTGACCACAAAACAGTAACACCAAGGGAGCTCATATTTAACATTTGGGATTTTTTAAATGCATGTAAATCACATAAGAGGTCTGTCACTACAACTGTCCCTGAACCATACAGTATCTTCAGTGAGACAAATATACAGATCCAGGCTAGTTTAAAATATCTAATTACCATTTATTACATTCATCATTACCAAGGGAATTACATATATCCACAGCTTTCCTGTGACAGAGAGTCTGTTTGTTTCCATGAATATATTTTAAAAACATATCATTTAAAATGTTACAAAGAAGAAAAGGCCTATCTAGCCCATTTAAAAGTTAGTACTAAATTGATTTGAAGATATCATTCATTTGTTCCACTTCAACAACATGGCTGAGTAGCTTGTTCCATACTCCCACAAAAACATTTACCGTATATTTCATTCAAAAACAACTTGCATTATTTCCCTTTCATACAGTTTGCAGTACAGTGGAGTAATCTGAGAGAAGTACATTGTTCAAGCACAGAAGCTACTCAGGGTTTGAACCTGACACAACTTTCCCATTCAAAATTCAGAGTCCTCAACATGAATCCACTCTACAGTCACCAGTAGCAAGTCAGATAGTGCTTTTTCATATCTCTTAGGTCCTGGGTTTAATTTGGAGCAACCTCTGTGTGGAGTTTGCATGTCATCCATACATGGGTTTATTCTGGACATTGTGGTTTCCTCCCACATCTCAAAGTCATGCAGGCTTAGTGTCCTGTCTGCTTCCATTACCAAATATGACCAGATATGGCTGTAAATGCATTATCCTGGTAGTGCATGACACACAGGACAAGCAGACTGTTTCAATAATGAGTGTGCTGATGTTGAGACATACCTCACTTCCAAGTCTACTACTACGACTTTTTTGTGACTGTGTTCTGCCACTGTATTGAGAATCACAATCTGATGGCCAAGGCTCAAATGTCTGATATCTCTACTTGAAAAGAGCATCTGTACTGGTTAAGCCCTTCAAGAACCTAAAATAAATCTTGAAGCAAATAAAGATCTCACAATCTCAGTATATGACCCTGACCCAAAACATTTTTTTTCTTAAGATGAGATTGGTTCCATACAAATGTTGGCAATTTGGCCTTTCAAACTCATTTTTATTGTTAGCAGATAATTGATCTGAGGATCTCAGTCAGTTGTTTTCTAAAAGATGTCAGAGTTCATCTTCAAAACAGGAGAGGGCTTCTTAAGAATCAAGATATAAAAGAGAAACAGAAATAATAAAGAACAAAGAAAAGTAAATCTAAAAAAACATTTTATCAACCAATTTAAATGAGAGAACCTTGATAAATAGAAACAATTGAGATATCTCAGAGTTATGAGTTCATACAGATACTCCACACCTAAGCAAATTGAGCTGTCCATGTGACAAAAAGCATAACTAAAGACCAACTGCTATACTGTACAGCTAAAACTGTTTTGGAAATAACAATAATGTTAAACCTATAAATGTAAGGCTTTTGGAAATGTCACCAGATTCAACTTTAAAAATCATCTTTTATTGTCAAAGAAAACGTGGTGTGTAAGTGACTTTTTCCATTCCATGTGACAACCTCAGCATCATATGATGGAAAAACATGTACATGATATATATACAGTTCCTAACTTTGCCCACATTCCCCCACTCCTACACAAGCATATTTGACTAGCCTAGCTGAGGCTTTATAAGGGCTTTACACTATGTGGAAAGAATAAACAAAGCAAGCACTGACTGTTCAACTACAAAATCAAAACAGCAGTGTGAAATATGAAAAACAAATTATATAACTCATAGCACAGTGAGAATACTGACCCATTTCTATATTCACACTCAAAGGGTGAATAACTATATTGTTGAGTAACTATAGCAAAAGACTGGCCCGCTGAGAATCATCTGAATAGATGAAGGCATCGCAACCAAATTCAGCAGTTTGGTCAAATTCTAATTACGACAAGATGAGACAATAAATATAAAGGTGCAGCATATTTACTATGTTCATGTTTGGTGTTAAATAGCCTGGTTGAGGAAATTACAGCCTTGGGCACAAAAACAAGGTTGACAACCTCCCAATCACTTATGATGAATGAACCAAGGATGCTGCTGTGAGGTTGAAGATGAGGTGTAGGTAGGAGTGTGATAAAAGTGGTGCATATCAGGCAAACATTTATACACACAAAAGTACAAGTGCAAGATTAAAATTTGAGTTCTCCCCAAGCTTCTGTTTAACAACTTAATTATAAGGAGCCTGAGAATGCCTGACCCATTCTTTAACTGACAGACTTTTCCATCATACATAACTAGATTGAGACAATAATAGGGCTACATATACAAAATTGCTAACAAATTAGGAAAAACGGCCATGTTAAACGTGTGAAAAGAGACTGTGTTACTTAGCTGAGCAGTGGATCAGACAATTCTATTCCCTTTATCAAAGACATTCTATGTCCAGTGAAGCACAGATAATCTATAGAACCAAGAAAAAACGATCCTTACTTATTAATGTTTCAATCGTCCTTACTTAGTCATGTAACAATCTTTTTATTCCATTCACTTCTGTAACGTCCAGTAGATATAGCTCTTAAGACATTAAAAAGCCAATGACAATGTAGATAACGTGCAGGAATGAATGTAATGGCACAAAACCTAATGAACAGGCCCATTGCAAAACTGGCAGTGCTGCTGGTTAAACAAATGAAGAAAAAAGGTTTTGGCCCCATGAACTTTGAAAAAGTCCCTGTATGTACTTTCTAAAGCAAAGGGGATCAATGCATTTATCTGTTTCTTAAATGTCTGTCAACTGTCCTGCACCTTTCATTAATTTGAAAAAAAAATGGCTGCAATTTAACTTTTCTTTGGTATAATACCAAACACTTCATTGGAACAACCAGGAGAAAAGGGAGATGGCATTTCTAGTAATTCACACTGTAGTGCTACCCAGAAAAACATGATAAAGTCTTTATTAGCTGTGTTTAATGGTTTCAGATGCAAATTTGTAATTGTAAAGTATACATTGTTTGAAAATAGCACAAGCACACTGTAAAACATCTGTAAAGGAGTCATTCCAAGGCTCTTTTTAGTTTGAAAATTAGTTAATCTGTTAATTGAGATTACAGCTACGTGCAATACATCTACCTTAAGCCATACAGAGGTTTTCAGGTTTTATTTTAGGAATGAATGAAATTTTGGGATAGAATACACCATCTCAGAAGGTAAAATAATGATATCAGATGCAACAGGAATAACCTGTTCAGAGGTCAAGGTCCTTTACTTCAGAAGCTGAGAAAGAGAGGGCTTGTTGGGACTTCCTGAAAGGCAAAATTGTGCAAACTGAGGTCAGGCAGGCACAGCAGGCATCATGTATCGTTCAATGTTTTCATTGGTGAAGGGTCAATGTTAAAATAAAATCTCACTAAACTCACCTACTCATTCAGCATGAGTTTCAGTACGCTATGGAAAGGACAAATGAATTGCTATCCAAGTTTAAATCTGAAGAATGCGCTGTCATACTTATCTTTAATAAAATGGAAAATAACATTCCAGACTTGTTGTAGTCCCAGTCCATGTTCTAAATGCTTGATATTAACGCATGCTGGGCTAAGACTAATGATTTTCTATACAGTGTAGGTTAAGTCCCCTTGAAATTTGCTTATTGACTAGGAATATGTCTAATTAAAAATGAATATCCTATAGTAAGAACATGCAACTTAAGGAAATATTTTGCTCAGTTACAGGAAGCATACCACTAACCTAGGTACTTTGGGCACCTTGGTCATGCAGACCATTTTCACACATTTGATTATATTTTTTGGTGTGGTCCCTTATAAGAAAGAATGTCAATCCTCAAAGGCTGAGAAGCAGCAGGTCATGCTTTTCCATTGGTACTGGTGATTTCTTACCAGGACAACAATCCTTTCCCCTAATCAATTTCAATTTCTCAAACAAGAAATCTCTAGAATATTATAAAAATTCCAGAGCAAAAGGGACAGTCAACAATCACCAATCAAAAAAATTAAAGGACTTTTTGAAGTGAATTTAAATCTGGTAATCAAATTGAAATTAAATCTCGTCTTAGAAGCTAATTTGCTTTTAGTTATGAATACTCTTTCATTGTTTGCTACCATTTGCGTTTCCGTAAGCGTTTGAAACTAAATGCATTTTGCTTAAAGCCTTGTAAGCACTAAAATCGTAGCGAATGGATCTTCACAAAAGTACACCCCTATTGAAAGTTGTTTGTGATATTTCTATAAACACATAAGAAAATAAAGGGGTCAAATGATCATGTCATATATCAGACTGTGATCAAATATTTTTATTTCACAGAGTTTACTCTGTTGTTCAAGCTAAGCTCCAATGCTAAACAACAATTCGTGTTACCGTACACTCTCTGTGCTGTAAATCTAACCGAAACTCGGTGATAAAACAACCTAGAACCGGCAACAGGCAACACTCCTCTACTTCCCCGCAAGACAGCGCCTCTCCGCAGGACTTAACTTTCGGTTTCACCGCGTGACTTCTCGGAAAGGAAGTGAGACCTGCTTACCCAAAGATGGCCAAAGAAGTCCTTATTTAGACAGTCTGGCTCCTCCCCTTCTCCCTGGAGCCAGGTGCTTGTTGCTTATAGTATAAAAACAATTCCATGATCGAAATATCGCTGAGAACAACTTTAAAGGATCTGGCGGTAACAGCTATATGAATCACCTCACCTAATTGACATCGACTCGACAATGCAAAGGTAAAAAATAACGAGCCAAGTGTCTTTTTTCTCTTTGCACAGATAAGCAACAACTTTAATATCTGTGTCCAGTTCTAGAGCTAACTTCCAGCATGAACTAAAAGGTGATTTAGATTGTAGTACATTACGGGTGTTTACAATTTTAATTATTTATTTGACATACTTAGCATTTGAAGACTATAATGCTGGTAAGCTACTACATTTTGCAACGTGTTAAAAACATGTAAACCTTTCATATTCAAAGAATAGCAATATAGAATACAAACAGTACTGCATGTAATTACAACACCAGCCGTCTGAAGGCTGAGGCAAGGTGATACCAGTGTTGCTCTGGGAAGAAAATTTAAAGAGGAAGAAGCAACTTTAATGTGAATGTATCTATGCATGATTTGACAATACATGCACTTTCAATGTTATGGCAGTATTGTACAATACTTTAGATATTTCTAAAAGCATTTCCAACTTTATTGCTGAAGAAGTGCAATCAAAAGTCTGCGGTAATGATAGTGAACTGTACTATATATTGATGCACTATGGAAATGCAATAGGTCTGAAGGATTTCATCATAAGTTTTAAGAATGGATATTAAAACTAGAGTAAATGAGAACAAAACTGAAGAAACATGGCATCAATAGTTTGCATGTGAAGCATTACAAAGTGATGTACACTATCGGTCATTAAGCAGACATTTAGGTAAATCCATGGTTTTGACTTTAATGGCAGTTAAAACATTACAGGTAGGAAATGGCATCATCTATAATGGTTTCTTCCTAACAAAGACAGCATTCTGTATCTATGCATTTACCCAAAGACTTATAATATAAGTAAGTATAAGTACATATATAATATAACATATAACATATAAGTACATACTGTATATAATATAAGTATGTAAATATAAGTATAACATACTTATAATGTGTATGTTCTGTGATCACCGTCATTTTTGTTTGTTACTGTATTGACTCACTGCAAGGTTTCCTGTTGTTCCTTAAGCAGCGTCAGCTACAATAAGCCCCAGTTTGGGCAATGGCTTATCCAGCAGATCAACAGTGGTGACTATCCAGGCCTCTGCTGGGTGGACAATGATAAGTTCCGAGTTCCTTGGAAGCACAACTCCAGGAAAGATTGCAATGATGAAGACAACAAAATATTCTGGGTATGGGCCTGGAGGCTTGCATCAGTATTGCTGGTATTAGTCTCTATAACTGTCCTCAAAGTACAAAATGCACTTTTTATAAAGGGAATTAATGTGAAACAGGTCATTCTCTTTGTAAGTTTGATGATACAGGTCCTCAGCCACGTTTTACAACAGTGTAAAACTCTACAAAGGGTTTTGAAGTCTTAACACCTCTGTGTCCCAATGTGTAACGGCAATAGTCTAAGGAAGTCTCTCATCCCCTCTGTAATGTCATTCTTAATGAATGAGATTCTTTTATCTCTTGAAATATTGTTCTGAATTCTTTGAGGGTGAGGTTTGCATTTTTTGTAATGCTTTGGATTCAATTTTATTGACACAATTTCCCCTTGAGGATAATAGATCTTGAATTAAAGTTGACACAAGGCAAGATTTACAATACAAGGTGTAGGTGCAGGAGTAAATATAAAACAGCGTGTAATTTGACAGGTTTAGTCTTTAGTGATAAAGGTAATAATACATAATTAGGTATTATTTGGAAGTGTTGCATTTAAAGAAAATACATGTTGGTTGTAGTCCAACTGGGAAAACATTGTTGATCAAAATAAAATCTTAACAGTTTGTGTCAGATAGGCACACTATATTTAAGGAACAAGTAATAGGTTTATTCCATGCTGGAAAAAAGAAAACACAACGTTTCGGCCGTGGAGCCTTCTGTAGACACCCAAAGAAGGCTCCACGGCCGAAACGTTGTGTTTTCTTTCTTCTTTTTTTCAGCATGGAATAAACCTACTACTTGTTCCTTTGCAGCCTACGCATGCTGATGCAGCTACCCACCTGAAGTACATTATATTTAAGCCTGACAATGATTGCCTTTTAGATAACTTGGACATTATTGGGATTTTTGGAGGAAAAACACTACAAATGCTCAGCTAACACTGAGTACTGTTTTATGTTAAATAGTTGCATATATGGGTTCACCTTTCTATTTGTTTTTCCTCGGTGGTGGAACAAGACCATTGTAATGACAGAATATTTCCTCCTTTTGCTCTACAGGCCTGGGCATACGCCAGTGGCAAAATCACAGAAAACCCAAACGACAAGGCCAAGTGGAAAACAAACTTCCGATGTGCCTTGCATAGCCTGAAGTACTTCAGAAAAATAGAAGACCACTCCAAAGAGTCTGATGACCCCCACAAAGTTTACCAGATCATACGCAACTTTGCAGGTAAGCAGTTGCCCACTGCTGCAGAAACTGACTCATCTGTTTTGGAAGTTTTCAATGTGCTATGCAAATAAACTGCTTAATACAGTTAACTTGTAACATAAACTATTCCCTAATGCAGAAAGCCAGTATACATGCATTCTTTGCATTATGAAGGCTTGAGACAATTAGACAGTATCTTATTTTCCCTGTCTGCCATTTTGAAATTGCTTGCTGTGTTGTAAAGACCAACAATGACATCACATGGCAATTTTTAGAATGGTCAGGATGCATTGATCAATTCAATAGCATTTGTTTATCTGAAATGAAGTTCTAAACTCATTCCAATTAGTATCATATGATTGTGTATTTGATGGATTGTTCCATCAACTCAGATTATGGTATTTAACAATGTTTCCCCTTCTGTTTCCTAAAGCCGACATTGAGAGTGATCAGAATGAGCACCTGAACATAAAGCCCAGCTATTGCCCAATCCAGAATATGCATCTTAATGAAGCTCCTAAATACACAGAAACACAGGTATGTTCTTTGCTTCAATATTAAGACTGCTGGTCTCAATGTGGAATGAGTTAAACCTTTAAGTCAAAAGGGAGAAACGTACTGCACCTCTGTTTTCATTTTATCCCATTCATGACCTCACCCACTATAGGCACTAAATTGGCTTATAAAGCATCGAGAGAGTTAATTAATGTTTTCTCTTTCATAAGCCACAGGACCTGTCGAATCAGCTCTTCACCCTTAATCTGGACAACCAGCATGCAGGTATTACACTATACTTATCTGGACTGGTTTAGTGAACTGGAGTTTCTAGATGACATGTTAAGAATTGCTTCAGAAACATAAGCATGTTGCACATTGAAGTCTAGTGGCACACTTATTTTCCCCCAGAAAATATCCCATTGGAAGAATCTTCTGGATGCCATATTCCTGCTGAGATGCATAATGTCTATCACATTGAGTCCATGAGCACTGAACCCCAGATCACCTCCCAGAAATTTGCCGATCATTTCCCAGTGCATTCCTACATTACTGGTAGGTATCAAGAAAGCAGAAGGGGGTGGGAAGTGGAGGGAGTAAATAACTTGGGGTGAAAAAAGACTTAGAACCATCACAATGTATCTTGTGTACAATTGTACCAAAAACAAAAGGATCAGCAAACTCTGCCAGTGTGGTGAAGCAGTTTATTTCACTTTTTACTCATTCTGTAGAGCTGGATCACATTTTCTTTCAAGATAGAGCTAACTTTCATCTAGCACAGATCTCACAAACGTTAATCATGGAGAATGTCCAATTGTCTGTTTTTTGTTGCACGAGTTGATACTTAACAGCGTATTTGACCACTTACAAGGCTCCTTGTGTTTCATGGGCAACTAAAGAATGTTATGAGAAGTCCAAGGTAAAAAGGTCTCTTTAAGGTAATTAGCCTTATAGTATTTTTTTTACACTCAATTGGTTGTTCAGGATGAAACAAAAGCCAAGGCCCTCTAGAAACTGAGTTTGAAACCTCTGGTCCAGCGCAAGGACAACCAAAACATGAAAGCTTTGCAATGTCACCATTCTGCATGGATTCAGACAAGAGATTTAACAATAAATCCTCCAAAACACATCAGTTAGTCAGAAGGTATGTTGCTCTTCGTAGACGAGCTTCTTGGCAGAAGAGGTATGGAGTCTTCTGCTTTTCTTTGCAACAGAGCTTGAATGGGATCTAACTGGGATCAATCACTGCTAACTGACCTTTAAAATTTGCTAAAACTCCAAGACCCAAGTAAAAGGTCTATTTAAAGAATTTGGGACCTTTTAGCCCCAGAGTGTCCATTTCTGCTTCCTAAAGATGTAATCAATAGTGGACACGGTCACATTCATGGTTGGCAAACCTAGTCCTTGAGTACTGTGTTTGTTTCTGGTTTCTATATTGGTCCTTAATGAATTAGGTGAAACAGCTAAGTAGATAAAAAGTCAAATCAGCTGTGATTGCCAATCTTGGCAGTACAGAGGTATAGAGGTGTTTCAGTAAAGAGGTGTAGAGCTCCAGGCTTTAAGGAACAGAACCAAGCTGGTATCCTAGGCCTCTTTAAATTACCCACCAGTGCTAAACTGATCCAGTTAAGCTTATGATCAGGTCATGTCCAGAAGAGGTGGAGAAAAACCCAAAGACTATGGCCCTGAGAGACTGGATTTGTGTAACACTGCTTTGATGTGTGTTAGTAGAATAGGGATGTCTAAGTCCTGTCCTGGAGGGCAAGTGTTTCTGCAGAGTTTCATTGAAACTGGGACAACTTTAACAATTGGCTTAAATTAACAGCTTCTCACCAGCTCTTTGGGCTCTGCTTTAAAGAGACTAGGAAAATAATCTATCCTAGAACAATAAATGCTTAGTTGACTGAAGAACACAATTAATTTGAAAAAAACAGCTTTTCAGAGTGGCTAACTGAGGGAATATCTTTGAATTTTTACCGCATTAAAGTACGCAAGCTGTTCATTTGCCTATAGGAGGCAAAGGAGCAATACTGGTAGACATAATCCTAGAAATCAGTTCCTTCTGCTTCTGTTACAAGTCTGACAACTTTTTCTTTTCTCCCTGTACAGCAGTGAACCAGCCTCCCATCCACCTCCAGAACCAGCCTTATGTGAATGATCTGGAGATTACCATCTTCTACAGGAAGAAGACTGTTCTCACCACCCGGGTGTGCAGTCCCAGGGTACAGCTCCATTACCACAGTGAGAACCCCGCACTGGGTGCTGGGCAGGCCGTGTGCTTCCCGGGCACTGAACAGCTAGTCGACCACAAGCAAATTGAGTACACCAACCAGATCCTCAACAGCATTCAGAGTGGGCTGCTCCTGGAGGTCAAGCCAACTGGCATCTATGGTACACGCCAGGACAAGTGTCACGTGTACAGCATCGCCTCTGATGCCATCCCCAACACTCCTGTCAATGTGGAACCCCACAAACTACCCCAGAACAGGGAAGTGGAGCTCCTCAGCTTTCAAAAGTACACTAATGGTAATTGCTAATAATTGAAACCATTATTGTTATTGTACTATTAATTATTGCTATTAATTGTAAGTGCCAATGTGCTGATTGAGAAAGTATTGCTTACAGAACACCTGCTTAAAGATATTGCTTAAAGACAATCCCGTTCTTCATTTGTCAGAAAGGGGCTCATTGTGCATTGAGAAACCAACTAATTCTTAAAGGCCCTCTTTCCTCAAGTCATGTTGACACCAGTCACTGAAACATTTTTCCAAACCTTTTTTCCACCAGTTCATTGCCACTTGTCAAATATTTTTTTCCTAAACTCAGAAGGACTTCTGAACAAAAGCCAAATGCTCGAAGACAATCCATTACTTCCTAAACCACTTACATCCTCTATGACAATGGAAGTTACTTGTTAGTATGTAATGAGAAATGTTACAGAGACAGAAAAAGTTGTTCTTGCACACATTATAAAATCACTTTAATAGCTGTGACTTGACCAACAGCTATAAAATATGGATACACCCTAATACAAATGTGCTGTATTGTTCTGGACATAAAATTACCTTAACAAATGTTGATTTACTTGCTATGATGTACCTACTTGCCACATAAGAAGTCAGTATTGATATGATATATTTAAATAATACAGCAGACTTTAATAAAAATATGCATATTTTCTCCATTTCAGAACTGAAGGAGTTTAAAGAAAACAAGCGTGGATCCCCAGAATACACAATCTACCTTTGCTTTGGAGAAAAATTCCCAGATGGAAAACCCAGAGAGAAGAAATTAATTATAGTAAAGGTAATTCCAGTCATTCTTACTTCCATCTATCCAGCCATTTTGTAATTGGTTCTTCCAATTAATGGAGGGTTGTGGGGGGCCTGGAGCCTATCCTGGCAAACAGTAGGCACAAGGCAGGGTGCGCTGTGGATGGGGGCCAGTCTACCTCAGGGCAGACAGACATGCAACCATTCACACTAGGGGCAATTCTTTCTGAAGCCAGTTTACCTACCAGTATGTCTTTGGACTGTGGGAGGAAATCAAAGAACCCAGAGGAAACCCCACAAGAACATCGGAAGAACATACAGACTCCATTCAAGAATTGAACCCATTGCCCCAGGGCTGAAAGACAGTAATGCCGACTACTGCCCCACCGTGCCACCCTCATCCCTGATGGGAGACCTCCTGGAAAAAACTAAGGTTGCTGCTGGAAGAGGTGTTAGTGGGGCCAACAGGGGGCGCTCACCCTGTGGTCCATGTGGTCCGAATGCCCCAGTATAGTGATGGGGACACTATACTGTGAACTGGCGCCGTCCTTCAGATGAGACGTAAAACCGAGGTCCTGACTCTCTGTGGTCATTAAAAATCCCAGGGCATTTCTCGAAAAGAGTAGGGGTGTAACCCCAGCGTCCTGGCCAAATTTCCCATTGGCCCTTGCCAATCATGGCCTCCTAATAGTCCCTATCTATGAAATGGTTTCATTACTCTGCTCTCCTCCCCACTGAGAGCTGATGTGTGGTGAGCGTTCTGGCGCACTATGGCTGCCATCGCATCATCCAGGTGGATGCTGCACATTGGTGGTGGTGGAGGTGAGTCCCCATTACCTGTAAAGCGCTTTGAGTGGAGTGTCCAGAAAAGCGCTATATAAGTGTAAGCAATTAATATTATCCCTACTTCAATTTCTTAATTAATAGGGACCATCAGTAATGATCTACATCGCTCATCAGCACAGCTAGGCATGATACCCCTTTGCTCTGATACTGTTTCTGTCTGTTTGCCAGGTTCTGCCTCTGATCTGCAAGTATTTCCATGAAGTGGCTCAGCATGAGGGGGCAACTTCCATCCACAATGACAGCATCAGCCTTCAGTTCTCACACAACAGTCTATACGACCTCATCGGCTCTGTGTTTGACCTCCCTATGGCTTTTTCCTGAAACCTGCAGCTTCAGGACCAGCAGTGTCTTAATGTGGTCCTGGAGGTCTGGTGTGTCTGAAGGTTTTCTAGTTTCCTCTGGAGCATCAGCAGCAGCACCAGCTCCTGAAAGAGGTGGTAGAATTACTACATTGACTAAGATGCTGACAAAATAATTGCTGGTTTTACGTCCAGTTCTGCAGGTAGAGGTTCCCATCACTTGCCTTCATCTTTCCTTCCTTTAATTACAACACCACTATCCACCTGCCATTTCTGCAGAAACTTAGTTTGAAATGACAACATTTTAAACATAACAGTCAGTACTGCAAAAATATTACATGATCACGATGCAATTTCTTAAGCCTTTTCTCCACTATGTTTGATTCTAAGTTTCTTTGTTGTCAGGAGATAGCTTTATTGTCAGTCATTCATGAATCATTTTACAGTTAATGCTCTGAACGGTGTGAGATTAATTCTCATAAATTATTAATCAGTAGGGCAGATTATGCAAACACAGACTGGAATTGAGCCAAGATACTGGAACTAAATTCTGTAAGGAGACAGAGTTAGCACAGTAGGCTCTCGACATCTGCAAATTCTTATTTGGAGAAGGGAGGAGAGGGATGAAATTGAGCTGAAGGTTGTTAAGTACTGGTTCCAAATGAGCTGTGCAGCAGGCTAGGATTTGGAGACAAGTCTAGCTAGTAAGCATCTGCCTGCCCCACCCCAAGAACTTAAGACCCAGCATCCGTTCCTGAGTGTTGTCTTTGTTTTGTATTGTAGTAACAGAACTGCTCCCAGTTCTATATCAGCAGCACAGAAAATGACAGGCTGGAGACAGTTTTATTACCTGTTTCATTACAGAGAGAGAGTAGGCATCTGCTGGACACAGAGGAGGGATTAGTGTTTATTTTAACTGATTACAGTACGTTTATAATTGCCATTGTTGTGGTTGATCAATGTTATTGTAAGTAACTTAAAGTTAATTAAGATTTTAATTTTCGTACAAAGAAGGGTTACTTTTGTCTTTTAACCAAACATACGAAGTACTATATGCAAACGTATAGGGGTGTATTTGGTTATTTGCAAATTTGGCTATTTGGGATGGTTCTCTAAACCAAACCCTTGTGAATGTGAATGTCAAGACCTTACTTTATAGGTCAGGTATTAAAGCAGATGTACAATGATGGTGTAGTAATGATGTAATGTAAGCTAAACACTTTTGAAAGATGTGTCACTGTTTTCCAGAAGGATATGATATCTTTTTTTAGTTGGAGATCTTAACCATATAAGAATATCCTTCCTTAACAGGAATCGTGCATAGAGGGAAGGATCCATTTATTATTGACAAAGTGGCTAGACTTAATTAATGTTGTTAAATTTGATTACTCTCAACCCAAAATGTATAGCCCATTGATTTTAGTTCGTGTAATAAATAATGATCTAGTTTCAAAGCAATAAGGGAAAAGGTTGTGATAAAATGCCACATGCAGTTAGCCGATATGAAACAGAAATGGTTTGGAACCAAATACTAGCTGTTCCTGTCATTATTATACATGAACAATTCATAAGTTTACTCCATTCATTAATCACATCAAACTGGAACACATTTGTGTTTAGCATTACAAACATTGTAGAAGTTTGGTTAAAATAATGAATCGGGGATTTCTGCGATAGGCTCATAACTCTGTACTTTTATTCCCAAGCTTCCAGAGGGTATAAGATTATAAATTACTGACACATCATTAACTGGCCCCTCACCCTGTATACCACAGGCCAGTAACCTCTGCAGCTTAAATAGCAGCTATAGATACAGTTGAAATTTCAGAGGCTAGTGTACAAACAATAAAAGAGTTTGCTTTTGGGGGGAAAAAAGGGTTATTGGAAGACATGGGGCATAAGAGCTCAGCTGGAAGGGTGCTTGCAACAAGATTTGCAAGAGAGTCGGTTTCGATTCCTAATTGTGCCTGTCATTGCTAAATAGCAGCTGCTTCTGATGACTTGACAAATTTGGGAATCAAACTGTAACTGGCACAGAAGCATCTCATTAGTGGGAAAATATAGAGAACCAAAACAAAGGCAAAAGGGTGTTGAAAATGGCACCATACTGATATAAACACTCCCTGACTGCTTCCAATCCAATCGGCTGTTTAGTCTGAGAGAGAATGTAAAACATAGGCTGGCGGCTTTAGCACATCTTCACTCGAGTGAAGGATCAGCTAATTAAGGGTTAAAAGAGTGGAAGTGCCAAGGTTGGCTTTCTGGCTCTGATATCTGGTATTTGTTCCAGCCTGTTCTGTCAGTTATGTAGTGGGTCTGATTGTTCATAAGTTTAATTGGAACTGGGCTCTGAGGTATTTTATGATTTCATTTGTAATGAAATAATCAACTGTAAAAATACTTGAAGTAACATACTGTACGTGTTTAACAAAATAATTAGGGTAATTGTTTAATTGAGAATTTGGGTTGGACCAAAAACCAGAAGCCACAAGGCCCCCCGAGAGGTGAGGAGAAGACCCCTGTTCTAAACCCTCAGCAAGTTCCCTCCAGCTCCTTGAAAAATTACTATTAATAAATGCTTAAATTAGGCAATGTTTGAAAGGAGCTGGATCTCCCACATTATTTTAATCCGTTCTTCTTGTGAAGAATTCAGGTGGTCTGCCCTGTGTGGGGTTCGTTAAAGGTGAAAACTGTGCCAAGTTGTGCATTGTTTTGCATACTTTTTCACTTGGCATAAATAAAACCTTTGATAATCAAAGAGATTCCAAGTTAGTTTGAGATCCGTTTTGATCATATTGTTTCTTATAATGATAAAGTACCTGCAAAATACAAATAAATCTTATTTGCATATTCATCTGAAGTTGTCTTATTTCTATTTAGATCTGTATCTGTCCTTGGCTAGGTGCTTGAGATCTTCAAAGGGTCTGTGACAACAACAGCTAGTGTCACCATAATTCCATTACCAACATTGTGTCACCTTAGTTTCTTTATATTTTCAGTGGTCTTTCTTTTTTCAGACATCCTCTGGCACCTCGGTTCTTCCATGATGTTCCCTTTTTGGGGAACACTACATGCCCTCTTCCTTCTCAGTTGCTTTCATCTGCTCACTAACGCTTCACTCTTCATCACTGAGCACTAAATGTGCTCATTACACTTACTAGGTCTTTTCACCAGCTATTAATTAAATCACCTGGCATGTCACCCAGTTATTAGTCTTCACATCACTAATCAATGTAACAATCTGGCACTGGAGTATTCAGTTCGACTCACTCTGTCACCCATTTGCAGTCTTCAATAATCACCATTTCAGTTCAAGTCTTTGTACCAAGCACCAGTCTTCACTAAACACAATTAATGTCTCTTCACTAACTATACTGGCTAATCCTGTTTGGCCAGGGATCCACAATGCAATCAGCACTTGTGCCTCTGATGCAGATGCTGTCAGTTGTTTTTTCTACTTTACAGTCTTCAATAAAAATTAATCACACTTCTCCTTCTGTTTGTATAAAGTTGCATTTTGCTATTTTTAATTGCTAAAAGCCAGGAAAAACATAAATACAGAAAATAATAGGAATAAAAATAAAATGATTTATTGACTTTACAGTTTTGCAGAAAACAAGCACCAGTAAAATGCAGATGAATTCAGTACATCAAAGAAAGCAGCACAGAGAAGAGCAAGTTCTAATTCTTAAAGGCCCTCTTTCCTCAAGTCATGTTGACACCAGTCACTAAAAGTCAGTCTATCCTATTGTACAGTCTGTTATAACATAGGAGGCAGACTGTACAATAGGATAGACTGACTTTTAGTCTGACTTTCATTGTCTTTGTCATGCTCCTATCCTTCTGGTGGTATCCCATGCCACACCATTTAATTTGTCAAGAGCAGGGTGTTATAGGAAGCCTGTCACAGAAGCAGAAAGTGCAAGGCAGTGCTGAGAGCACATGACGGCTCAACATCAAATTCCAGTACATGCTTGAAATGTCTAGGAATTGTCTTGGAAAAAATCTAAATACCACCCATCCATTTTCTAACTTCTTAATCCAATACAGCATAATGAGGAGAAGTTGGAGCCTAGAAGAACTTAGTGCAAGGCAGAGTACAACTTAGATGGGAAGTCAGTCTATCACAAGACACACAGGCACACACTCACCAGGGCCAATTTTCCCTGAAGCTAATTAACCTACTAGCATGTTTTGGATTGCGGGAGGAAACCGGAGCCAATTAAATCCCAAACATCTAAAATGTCCATTCCTTCCATTATTATTTGGACTACATTTTAGGACATTAATGTCACAATGTTAAAATAATAACACCTAAACTCTAGGTTTTATTTAAAAACACATTCTATTTTTTAATGTCTTCAAGGATGTCAGAAGAATCAAATATCTGCAAAAAAAACAAACAAAGCAAGAACATATCAATTCCACACATTAAATAAAATCTAGATTTTCCTACTTGGTCATCTGGATTACTGAAAATAAACTGCCAGTTAAATTGAGTAACCCTGTGAATGTGAGTCACATACAATTGCTTAAGAGCACACTAGCACAATTTTACAAATGTAAGAAGAATAATTCAAATGTTAGCTATCTAGTTTTTGTTTAAAAAATGTAAAAATATTTAAAGACATGACCCAGTTTGTAGCTTAAGGATAAATTTTAAACAATAGAATATTAGTTTATCTATTAAAAGAAGTAGTCAGTTTTTTTTACTGCCAGGAACCCCAGATGAAATACCTGATTTCCCACAGTCATATTTGTTGGTCCCATCGCAATATTCCCTGCCATATTGTAGATTATACTTTGTGGATTCCCATCTTCCAACAGTGATACAACTGGCACTGCGAAGCGAGACAGTGACATATTTAGAGTCTTGTATTGGCCTCCCTGGATTTCCTTACGTTTTCTGAGGCAGCAGATTTCTGTTGGGGAGGCTCAAATAAAGAAAAATGTAACTGGGTATCATGAGTGACTCAAGGAGAAATGTGTTTATCTAGACTAGAGCACTGCAATCTGTCACTAATAGTGTTACTATGTGCCTGTGACCAGGATTCTCCAATAGGTGGCGCACAAGTGTTCAAGTGTCCATGGGGACACTTGCTAGAGTCAGTGTAGGTTATATATTTACAACATTCTGGAAAACAGCCTCCTCTGTTACTTTTCAACTGCCTGTGCGTTTATAGTACAATCAGCAGAAAACTGTGTCACATTTAATTCGATGCCTACACTGCTGTAGGCATTGGGGATTTGTTTGGGACCTGGGCCATAGATTGGTTCAGCAGTGCACAGACAGGATCCACAGGCCTCATTCTTCCAATGGCAGTATGAGGTGTCCTTGTAGCAATGACTCAGGTTAATTGATACTTGCTAATTCAATGTGGCTGTGTGTGTGACTGGTTTACTGCTGGGATGGACTTAATTTTTGGAAACACAAAAACTTTTCTACCTTTCGGAAACAGGAATTCAGTCCTCTGTGTGTGGCCATTGTCACAAGTCACCATATCCTGTTTTACCCTGTGAGAAATGAACACAATCAATTACTGTACCATACAGGCACATCACAGTTTTGTCAAGTTAGGTAAATTGTGAACAATGAGTCTGCTTCTTGTTTTCCACTGTCAGTGCATAAAGATTGATTGTGGGACACTCTGACTTTAACTTTTTTGTACTCTGTAAACAACTTACCTCTGCTACAAAAAAGGACTTTGCCAAGACCTGAACACATTCAATATCCCTACTTCATCAATCTAGTTTGGTCATTGCTCAAGTGCTATTATTCTATTATTAATTATTATTCTATGCTATTATTAATTTGATTTAACCTAGAAATGTATCACTTTCTCAAGCTGAGAGATTGTCCTCTCCCTGCATGGAACAATCAGTAGAAAACAAGTATGCTTACATGTCATAAAAGCTTTCTGATTCATTCTTATCAGGCCAGTCGAAATCGGCAGAACAGCCATTGACTGTACATGGACTGCACACAGTCCGACACAGGCCAGGCCACTGCTCCTCCAGTTTAGCCATCTTACACATGATAGCCAGAATCATGTCCCAGGTTGTCTGGAATTCTATGGAAGACACAAGCCTTAGATAACAAAATAGAATTTAATAATTTTCTCGTTTCATTGTTCATCATTAATATGTTTATTTTTTCTCTAAATTTTGCTCATGTTACTCATGTCAATCAACGGATGCAGTAGATAAGAGGGATAAGAAGCATTCATTTTTTTAGCAATATTCCATTCAGAAAAAAGGTCAAGTATAAAGAACTTTTATACCAGCCAGGTGGATTTGACAATGATTCAGTGGATGGGGGGGGGGGGGTTGAGGATTTCAAAATACAGCTAATTGAATTATAATGCTGAGACCTATGGGCCTCATAGGCTTTAAGGTCTTTAAGGCTTTATGGTTCTGTGGCACACAATTGCAGCTATAGAGTGAGCTCTGTTGTGATCTGCTGAATGTCACTGCCTGGAACATTTGACTGTTTGAATAAAGCAGTATTTTCACTGCTCCTAGAATTAGAATCTACAGTACGTACTGTACCTCAGTGACTTGTCTGCTGCTTAAAATATTGAACTAAAAGGCCAAAATTGAGCTCTGCAAATTCAGCAAGGACATGGATCAATTTAAACTGCTACATATTTAGTATATAGTATCACTTGCCTCATACTACATACATACGAACACTTGCATACTATTTTTTTGTGAAGCTGACAAACATAAGTGGGACTATTTACCATTAGATAAAAAACATAAAATTTTTGGCAGACCAGTTCTGAAAAGCCACTGGTCCCTGGTATACAGTATATGAAGGACTTCATAGAAAAATTCATAAAACTCCACCATAGACGGTCCCAAGCCTGTTTGCAAAAGGAGGAGGGACTTCAGCGACAGGCCGTGCAACAAGCTGGCTGAAGAAAACTTCCTTGTTGCGTCAAAATGCACACGACCAAGCAGACCCCACATAAGTGGGAAAATGCAAAGAAAAAGATAGAAGAATTCATAAGAGAGGGTGTGTTTACTACCAGGGGTCATTAGGGTTCAGAAGCCCATGTATTAAGTGTACTAATTTAGTTCAAAAGTACCAGATATGTCTATTTTAATGAGGTTTGTGAATTCCAAACTATGAAATCTATTTAATTTACATTTCTGGGAATTTAGTGCAGGATCATCCACATTTTAAAAAATTATGAAATAATAAACTGGAACTAAAGCAGCAGACCATGGTTCGAAAAATGAAACCAAGAGCAGGTAGGAGAACAAGCAGGACTGTGTGAGCAGAGAGCACAGTGAGTGCAGCAAGAAGGGGGACCAGGCAAAAACACAGTCCAGGTTCGAACCCGGGAAAACAGGAGAGAAGCTAACGTTGAAGTAAACTCCATAGCAAAGTCTACATTAAAGCTTAAATAACCTGAACCACCTAAGGCTAGAAATTGTCTCCGGGTGGTACAGCATTCCACTCAGATTGGTATCCACGGCAACCCGGCCAGTGACAGGTGAGTGCAGGTGTGGCCAGCTTCCTTGGCAACAAGTGTTCTTACCTCTCTTCTGAGGCCTTCTGCAACGGATTTCAATAAACTGGTCGTCTTCTTCATGGTTTTCTTTAAGAAGTAGGCATTTGGCATTGGAGATGACCAAGCACTTTTCCCTTCCCACCCAGTGAGGTGCATACAAAGAGCATACCTTAATAATGAGCCTAGAAAATAAAATGTCTGTATAAGAGCATTCTTAACCTACTCAAGAAATACTATTCTTCAGAAGCAGCACTAGACATGAAATAGAGGATATTAGTGGAAATGCAGGGAAGTGCATTTAAAACATGAGACACTTTTATCACATACAGGGTTGTGGGAACCTGGAATAAAAGTAACAGGGAGTAGCTTTGTTGTTGGAGAGGAGGCTTCTTTCAAGAAACAGACGGATCCTTGGATTACTAAAATTATTTTTCAGCAACCCACATAAGGTAGATGAGCAAAATTGTCTTGTTTGTAACCTTTCTGATGCTTATTCCCACATAATATATGTTATTGTCGGTATGTAAGTAGCATGGACTATTAAGTTGTTCAGTACAATATGCAAAAGAAATTTCATATCATCTTTAGGATTAGTCTGGACAAACATCATTAAATCAGAAATAGAGACTTAACCCAAAAACTTTGTATTGCATGATTCCTGTGAGCTTTAAGCCATTCTCATATTCAACTCTAAATATTTAGACAGATTAAGGGGACTGAATCACTTTTGCCTACAACAGGAAAGTGGGGATAATTTGCATTTTCAAAAGCCTGAAAGGTATTGACCTAAGACTTATCGTCAGGGAAAAATCATGGAATTAATGGTACTAGAAACTAGGAAACTAGTGAATCTAATAATTATTGGGCAGAAAATAGGAGACATTTACTTACACAGAGAGCTGGAGATGTAAAATTCACAAACCAGTATGGAATCCTTTAAGATATGGTTTTGTGCAGTCGGGGGTCTTTACTGAGTTTAAAGCAGTCTATAGAGCTATTCAGTAGAATTAACTCTACTAAGTTGTTTTTATAGTGTTCATACACTTTTACTTTCATAGTCCATGTGAAGTACACTCACACAGGCCAGTCATAATATTGTAGATGGTTTTGTTCCTAACTGTCCTACATTTTCTAACAGATGCCAATAGGTGTCATAAAACCAATAATGAGCCCTCATTATGAGGCTAGAGTCCTCTGAAACTAAACAACATTTGTAAGCACATGTTCATTCATATTTTCCCATTCAGGTAAGTAAAATGCGATGTAATTCACATATTTAATATACCTACAGAAAGATATGACTGGAGATTTCAGCTTGGATGAATACTAAAGGTTTTGCTTTAGGCTGATGGGAAAGCAGGACGTTTCATACAAAAAAAGAGGTCCTCCTGAGAGTTTGAATCAGTGAAGGTGCTTAATCAGAGCACACATTGGGCCCTGTAGTCCAGGTATCAGTAATTCGAACTTGATACATGCAATCAGCTGGCTACGAAAAAGATTTATCAAGTGGCATTGCACAACTGGACAAGCAAGGTTAATTTAGTAATCATCAGTGGGAAACATACACTGCTCCTTCCATTGGCACTAATGCTTCTGTAAGAGACAGTGGATCTTGCAGTGTGTCCAACACCAAGTGACACTCTCAGGTAGGTGTGTCAAAGTCCACACGTCTTCACTCTCCCCATGTGATACAGGAGATGTAGCTGTACAAATGAGTCATAAGCAACCGCTGATTACAAACTGGGTTGGTATGAAAATATAAATAAATAGAAATTCCAAACTTGTAAGAAAAACAAACTGATTACCTGTGGAATAGACCCTGGGGGATTTCTGGTAGAAGGTAGATGTGGATGTTGATATCATCCACTTTATCTTCACCCCATTTCTGTGACACAAGGTCATTATTTTTTAGGTAACTTGGGAACATACAGGCATCATTTGGGATGGCAGACTGAGGCATCTTCCACAGACTGTCTGGGCTGAACTCCATGGCATCTGGGTTAAGCGGATTAGAGAGTTTTGTGGCGAGGCAGATTTCAAAGTGCTTCAAAAGACGGAGAAGCTTGCCACCTTCCTGCTTGGTCCCAGCGATCTCTTCCATAAAGTCCTCATCCTCAGGAGAGTTCTCTTTCAGGAGAGACATCTTCACCAGCAGCCTCATGGCAGTGTTGTGCAAGGTGGCATTCCTGTGGAAGTCTTCCACCCACTTCCTCCTGTGCTTCACCAGGGCATTCTCACTCATCAGCAGATCCTTGGGTATCTTCTTCAGCTGATTCTCCAGGTCATGACGGACAATTGTCTGAGCGCAGACGAAGACAAAACTCAGAGATTCAGTCTGATCATCATCATGGTTCACTTTGTTCTGGAAACACTTGCCATGTTTAGAGCACTGTATTATTACAGCAAACATAGATATGGTACTGTATGTACACCACACACAACACCAAACACAGAATGGAGCAGGACAAAATGATTCAGCCCTGTGCACCATGCAGGACCTAACACAGATGCTAGTGCAGAAGGCTGATATATAGTACAGTATATGGCAGGTGCAGAAGTGTAATGAGTAGTCCCCTGTATTTTGGAGTGAATATTACAAAGTGGAATAAATCAGTAGACAAGCTGTGCTATTTTTAGTTATTTAGACAAGTTTTACATGTCTAAAAAGAAGTAAAACCCATGACTTCTAAGCTTATGTTCACACATCTCCCGAAAAAAAATGTGAACTCTAATCCACCAAAAAAAAAAAAGTTGAATATGTAAGCTTCCAGATTTCTCTTTTGAAAGCGAGCACTAACCTTGAACAAAGCGATGAGGAATGAGGGTTTGACAAAGACTGTATCTATGAGAGCTGGAATGTCTTCATACCACATTATGATACCTATGCGATGAAGGTAACGTAATATATCCTTAAGATCATCTTTATCAATCTTCGTCAGCTTACAGTTAATGTCACTTAAGAGTGCATTAAGAGATACAATTCCTAAAACATAAAACAGACAAGAAGGTATGAAATGTCAGTACATGAATTAACAGTGCATCACATGACAAACTACTTGACATTAGCCCCAAAGCTGTAAAATTATTACAATTTGCTTTATAACTGAGCAAACAGTTTATAAAAATTAGAACTATCACAACCTTGAATTCACAATTTTAATTTAATTTGGTAATGGTAATTAACTACTCTGAACCAAAGCCATCTCTTTCAGTGATTTGTCTAGGCCATAATGCAATTATTCAGTATGCGCTTCTCATTTTCATCTAACTTTTGAATTAAGGTGTTAATGTGTAGCGTATGTTTAAGTTTAGGTAATAGGCACAAGTAACTATACTAGCTTTACCTGCTAAACAAAGGCATTTCTAGACATATTCTGCTTTTCTGCAAGCAGTGGTATAACAATGATTGCTAATATAAAGACATACCATGGTCAGGAACTTTGTGATCTTTCAGAAGATCCCTGATTGAAGACTCCACAGTTTGGTAGACACGAGGCAGCTTTTTCTCTATATTCGGGAAAAGGTCTTTATTCTGCACACATTCCAAAATCTGTGCTTGGAGATATTCAATATCTGCCTGATTTGTGCCATCAATTGCTATGAAGTCAAGAACCTATTAATTAATAATAATTAATAACAATAATTCCCACTGACCCACTTACGTATAAATCATCTTAAGTCCTTTGCAAGAAATTTGTCATTTATTATCATCATTAGGATTTTATCAAAAGACTTAGATTGTACACATTTAAATAACTGCAATTTAGCCAGGGGTACAGCAGTAGAAAGAATATTCAAACTATTTGTAACAACAATAAGAAAAAATCAAGATTCAATATACAGTGCTCCACTGATGTTAGCTAAAGTTATCTGTGCTTATCATTCCTAACTGCCTCTTCAGGGTCTTTCCGTATACCATTTGAATTTTTGTTTTTTTTCCAGAGATCAAAATAATCTGACTAGAAGTTGTGTGTTGGCCAGCACATTACACTGGGGATAAAGAGAAAATAATAATTTGGGCATCTATTGATGAAAGGGAAAAAAGGTAGGGGTGTCTTGCCACTTCTCAAACAGTGATGCTGGCAATATTTACTAAGCAGGCTAAATACTGCAGCATGGACATCGGTGGGGTAGTTGGTGATTACTTGGCAAGGGCTTTCTTGATTTTCTGCCAGCCTCCTGCAAATTTGCAGTAAGAGACACTCTGCTTCTCTGGTCTCCCTTGATGTCTCTCACAGGACAACCCCATCTGCCAGGGTGCTCATGGGAGGAGCACATCTACAGGACTCCTTCGCTCCTGATTGGTACTGGACTGGAGTCTTTGCCAGTCTTCAAAATCAATTGACAATTCTGATTTTCTTCAAAAAAAGATTGGAGGAAACACACAGAAATAGAACAATACCTTTAAGTTGTAGCCAGTCACTTGATCAAGTCTGCACGTCTGATCAGAAAAGAGGGCTGGCTCCATTTTCTCCCTGATGTTTTTTCTCCTTTGCTCTAACCGGGCTTCCCTCTCATCCAGCATTTTTTTAATATTGATCTCTATATCTGCTTTCTTCTCTTTGATCTCTTCCGAGTTCTCACACTTGTCAATGTGAGTCCCCACAGGGAGAACAACAGAGTCTGGAACCCTCATCAGCACATTATTAATCCAGAAGCTTACTTCCTCTTTGAAGGACTGAGGATCACCAATACTATAGCTAAAATAATCCAACAGAGAATGATGGCATTAGGACCTTAAGACTTATCATCAAAAGGAAGGCACAGAAAATGGCAGCTGTGATCCTATTTCAAAAGTAAACGGGTCTTTTCAATTAACAAAACAGCAATCAAAAGATTTTGTTGCGAAAACATGTTCCACATTTTCTCTCTCCACATGACACACCAAAAATAGTGCCACAGCAGCCATATCACCCTGCAATTTTCAACTGGCAACCCACTGAAGCTAAGCAGGTATGAGCCTGGCCAGTACCTGGATGGGAAAAGCTAAGGTTCCTGCTGTGGTCATTAAAAATCCCAGGGCATTTCTCGAAAAGAGTAGGGGTGTTACCCTGGCATCCTGGCTAAATTTCCCGCTGGGTTAGTGTTAGGGCTACCCTTTACCAATCATGGCCTCCCTATAATCCCCATCTAGGAATTGGCTTCATCACTCTGTTCTCCTCCCCATTGATAGCTGATGTGTGGTGAGCACACTGGCACACTGCCGATGCTGTTACATCATCCAGATGGGGCTGCACATTGGTGGAATTATTATTATTAAAAAGACATACTGTATATGTAAATGAAACGCAACAACCCATAATTTCCACACATATGTTTTCAGTTGTGAGATTATCAGTTTTGAATTGCAAATTTAGTTGAAAATAACCAGAAACATTTTTTTCAGGAGGCTAGAAACTTTGCAAGTCAAATACTAGAAAATTCAAATTGCCTAGCACAGTTCAGAGTTCAATGCTTGAATGGGACAACCACTCACAGCCACAACAATAAATGGATTGTATTTACTTCCTACTGTATCTCACCTCTTCAGATTGATGACCAGAATGACCAGGGCCTGAGGGGTGATGAAGACATGATGAGTGAGGTAGTACTCTTCCTGGCCTGCAAAGTCCCAGAAGAGGAAGCTGAAGTCCTCTTTCTGCACCTCACTGATTTCAATCCCCACTGTCCTGTCCGCCACACTCACTGTCACCACCTTCCCTTCCTGTAGGCTGCGGCACAGGGTAGACTTGCCTGCCATCGAGGAGCCCAGGAACATTGTCTTCACTCTGTGGATGTAATCAGCTTGCGAGCTGCTCAGCTGGCTGAAGTAGCGCCTGATCTGCTTCAGGCCCCCGGCACACACCTCGTCAGGCGGCTCCCTGAGGCGGTTAGCTGCCGCTCGGAAAGTTGTGAGGTTCTTGTTCTCAAAGAGCCTGGCTGGGAGCTCTGAGAGCCTATTGTTGTCCACAAACAGCTCCTTGAGCTTGGGAAGGTCGGCCACAGCCTCATTCAGCTCTTTCAGGTAGTTGTGCGAGAGGCCAAGGTGCTGCAGGTTCTTGCAGCAGCTGATGTCAGACGGGAGTTTACTAAGACGGTTGGTGCTCAACTTCAGCAACTCCAGCTTCTGAAGCTGGGAGAATATTCCCTCTGGGATATTTTGGATCTTATTCTGGTTCAAATAAAGCTTCTCCAAGTGGAAAAGCTGTTTAATCTCAAGAGGGAAGTCAAGAAGTTCGTTCCGAGACAGAATGAGCTCCCTGAGATTTGTCAGCGTTGAGATGCCCAGAGTATCCTTAAGTCTGTTCCGGTCTAGGTCGAGAATGGAAATGTCTGTATCTTCCAAGACTTCTGAAGGGATCGTTTTCAGTTTCTTTTTTGAATAATCAAGTTTTTTATTCTTTTGGAAACCTAAAAAGGAATAAACAAGACAATGTTTAGATTCCCAGTATTTAGATTCATGGCCTTCTAATAATCTCCATCTATGAACTAGCTTCATCATTCAAAATAATCTGACTAGTCTGAGAGATGTGTGATGCATGTAGAGGTGCACTCTGGGCTGCTCTCGCATCATCCAGATGGGGATGCACACTGGTGGTGGTGGAGTGGAGCCCCCATTATCAGTAAAGCACTTTCAATGGGGTGTCCAGGTCAATGATACCTAATCTACTTGGTTCAGCTAAGCAAATAGTACAGCCTACTAGAAGAGTAGTTTATAAACTAAATAAAACAGTGCAAATCTATAGATACATTAATACATTTTCTTATATGTTTCAATCCCTTTTAAATTTTTCAACATACTGTAGAAAGGCAAAACGCCATGGGGCTGATTGCAGTTTTAATAATCACTGTATGGAAAATGAAGACGGATAACCAAGCGAAAGTGCACAGGGCAGAATGTTCTCCGTAGTTACACATACTTACCTTCCTCAGTATTTATTTTGGAATCCCAAAGGAGGCAGCTGGATTGGAGCTGTTGCAAAACGCGTGAGATTTCGGTATTATAGTTTACTTACACAATATTACAATTCCTGGGGTTAGGAAGGTAAAATATCGGAGGTTCTGAATTTAGCTACTGATAAACCGATTTGATCAATGTATATACATCAGTTTATATATCTTTTATAAACAGAATGCACTTTGCTAACAGATTCTTGATGTGGAATGAAAAACTATGCACATCCTATTAACGCACTTCAACAGAATTTCAAGCTGCCAAAAAAATGCAGTTCATTATCAAATGTTTCTGGAGATGATATTGTAAGAAGCTGAATAACTCATATTCATTCAGATTTTATACAGTGCAGCATTCATTCACTTATTGCTACAACTAAAACAATTTTACATTACAGATTGCAAGTTATTTAAGGCACTAATAAACTACCTTTAGTAACTTAATGTTGCTGCTTAACTAGCTCCAGTTAACAAAAGAGTCAATATACTTGCCATTCTGCCGAGCCATCTTGTTCAACTGCCAGCTGTTGTCTACTTCATTTCCGGAGTGTGCTTGGAAGTTCAGCCTAATACTGGGGAACTCCCTAAATGGTGTGTCCAGAGTCTGTACTGAGCCTCACACAGCACAGCAGAAATATCAAATGTTCTACAGTACTCATTTCAAACTGTAAAGTTACCTTTGTCTGTCAGCATTCAAAAGTACCAAATCTTACTATTAGAAAATATATTTTTTCTGCAGAGAAGATAAACCAAGACAAGCAGGGTTACTTGCCAAATCCTGTTCGAGTCCTCATGTGGCCTCTGAAGGTTGTGCAACCAGACTGCAGCCATGATATTTACAGTGAAAACTATACCCAGCAGTAACTCACAGGATGTGAATAACAGAAAAAGTTATGCAATCACATATAATCATTACTGGACATATAAGTATATAGTGTTCATTATGGACTAGGAACATTTGTTACACATGAAGGAAAGCAAAAAAGATTGAAACTTCTCAACAAGGAAACAAATATTTTTATATTATATAGATTATATATTTATATTATTTTTTATTAGCGATTACAAAAAAAAACAAAAAGCAGTCACTCCCAGTTTTTTGTTTGTGAACTTCCTCATACCTAGCAATGAAGATATTGTACATATTTACTGAGCCTCTCTCTTATATACTGTACAAGAAGAGACAGCACATTAATCTGACGGCAGGCGGAGCGACGCGCCGGATGGAGTATTCTCGGTCGCAGTTAATGGCAACGTCAGCTCAAAGATTTGGTTCAAACCACCAAATGGAGACAGGTGTGCCGACAAGCGGACCCTGCTAATGCAGGATTAACGCTGGGAAAGAGAGAGACAGTACATTCATGTGGTCACCTGACTGATGACTCATCAACACCAAAGCACTTAATTCCCCATATTTCTCTTCTCTAAGAGGAACTCCTCAAATGAAGACAAAATCAAAACGTTTCACTGAAATTAGTCATAAGACTATCACCAAGCTGCTAGTCAAGAAGGATGGAGAACCTAATTAAATTTATCAACAAACACTGTATGTGATCACAGAACCTCCACATGTGGAGCTGTTTGAAAATGTGGTTGAGTCCCTTGAGGATGTCCAGAAGCCCACATGCCTTGGGGTGATCGTGGATGACATGACCACCTGAGCTGAGACATCGATTCAGACAAGAGGCTCTGTACTCAAACACGAACCAGTGAGGTCTTGACCCCCATGTTTCACACATTCGCCACTTTCTGCGATAAAAGGACTACTACTTTCTGATTCAACCTCACCTCTTCAAATGTTCACATTCAAAACAGATGCCCCAAAAGGATGACAGAAAATCACAAAGAGATGAAGCTTCTTTGAATTGGAACGGGTTGTAGTGATGATGTGATAAAAAGGGGTCAATGCAACCCAAAATCTATTTGATCTATTCTGTAAATGTGTATTCGGAAGAAGCCGAGTATCACATGACACAGAAGCGTTCATACTGGGATGGGATATGCTGATCAGCTGCAGCCCTCATGACCACCAGTCTCTTGTGAGCTTGATGTGTTTTCACTTTGATCAGTGAGGACTGACCAGAGAGGTCCAACTCTGTCAGGGACCCCAGTCATAAACTGTTTTTCCCTCCTACCGTCCAGTAAACGGTACCGAAGCATTCAGTCAATGTCCAACAGATAACGGAACAGCTTCTATCTCCAGGAAATAAGATTACTAAATAGCCAGGCTGCAGTTCCTTCAGCAAATCACTGCTCATAGACATACAGCTTTCACTGTATTTGACCTAGTGCACTACTTGGACATAATGTATTACATACACCCTGGACACATAGCAGCTCTATGTAACCTTATATAGTAACTTTAATTTTGTGATTTCCCCCCTGAGCTCGTAGAAAATATATTTCATTGCCAGCAATTACTGCTACACGCTATATTGTTATGCATTTGATAAATAAACTTTGATTGCAGGATGACAAGCTGAATGGTCTTCTGGAGCATGTGTGTGTTTCCCATTACTAACCATCACGAATATTGGGATTGAACAGTTGAACTATGCAGTTTAAGAAACCAGCTATTCTGTATTGTGAAGGTACTGTATATAACTGGCACTAGTGGCATAAAAGCCTTTGTATGCAAAGGAGAGGAAAGATAAAAATAGAGGATTTTTCAGAAACTGCATTTAAGTGCTGGTGCAGTGAGCTTTTTCCCCCAGTTAATTTAGTCCAGTTCTTTTGAAGATATGATACTGCAGTCAAAAGCTGGTTACAAAACTGATTACATGCTCTGTATCAGACACTATTAAGATCCTTTTGGTTTACAACACAGCATACATTGTCACTAATACAGAATAACACATTTGGAAATAAGACATGTATGCAAAACAGAACATTTAGTTTTGTTTTTTTATTAAAGACACTTTCTAAGAAATGTATTTACAAATCTCATGTTTTCAACAGTTAAATAGTGACAGTTAACCTTAACGTTACTTTCTGAGCTGTATGGAGGTTTAAGGAACAATGTGTTCCTGGACCATCCTAGATTAGAAATCTGTTTTTGAGCTTACCTTAGTCTATACAGAACACAATATTTACTTCATAATCATTAACACTAGTTTCACCATTTTTTACCTTGTAAATCAAAAATTTTGGAAGAACAGCTCAGAATTAATAAACTAAGAAACTTGTATCAAAATGATTTTTCTTATGTTTCAATGCTAATGCTTACATCCAGCGCCAAAGATTCTCCCTCTTTTACAAAAGTAAAAGAAACTGAAAGCAAACCAAACCAGAGAACAAAACGATCTGAACAAACCAGTTTTTGTACATAACTAAGTAACGTCAGGCTTCAACGTTGGCACTGTGCTATAAATCAAGCATGTTTCAGTTGACTTGAAATTGAGTAGAAAAAAAGCAATCAATCAAACAATTTAACACCAACTCTTCTCTGATCAGTTGCTCTAAACAGTTTCAGCAGTTCACAGAATGGGTGACAAAGCAAGCGTTCTAGGCCAACCAATTACACTTTAAGGTACTTCTAGAAATTCAAGCACTTTCAGGGTCTTTACAGTACATGTATTCCTGACAATGAGATATTGTTTTAACCTATTAAGCTAACAGGGGAGTGTTTTCAAACTTCTATACTAACCACGGGGAACTTATTCACAGGGGCAAAAAACAATACCATAATTTAAAAACCTCAAATACAAACTTGACTGTGGGGTACTTAAGATTTTTAAATGAAATTAATTTCAGCTAAGTATGTTTTTACATTTTACAGTGGATGATTTACTCCTACAAAAAAACATAATGGTTAACAACAGTACAAAGTACAAACCAAGGCTAGATCTTGGTGACTAGTGTTTCAGGCAAATGAGGCACTAAGCTGGCCTGCATTATAAAGATCTCAGTGTCAACATTTCAGGGATGGTGTTACAAAATTCACCAATGTATTCAAACTGTGACACAGTTTAACACTTACGTTCTTTCATGCGTCTTAATAGTAAATTAAGAAAAACAACGTATTAGATTAGTAAAATGCTTTAAGAACAATCTGTTTTTCCAAGTGATATGCAAGAACCTTTACAAAAAAACTTTTAAAAAATGCTTGCTTATGTTCAATTTGAGCATTTCACATTTCAGTATTGCCAAATACAACTTGCACCAGAACGTGAATTAAAACCACACTTTTGAAAATACTACAGTGAGACCATACTACCAAGGTAATGGTCCAGCATAAAAACGAGATTTGTGATGTGAGAGTTCAGGCATTAAACAAATGGTTTCTTTTGTTTTTTATACTGTCAGATTATAGCTATAATGTAAACTATTACCAGAAATTATCACAAAATGGGTCTTGTGGTGATAAAATAATTGAACATATTGAACACGTACTGTGAAAGTATTGCCTTTAAATCTTCCCTTTGTACAAAGTACACAGGAGTAGAATCTTTACCACTGTCCCTTCCCTTACACTAATAACTCCTTAACAAAGTCATTCATTATAGTCAAGTCATTGCTGTAATCCTAGTGTCTCTGAATCAACCCAACATGGAAATGTCTTTCTATATATTTATACTTTTGAATGTGTCAAAGCAAACTTCTTAATTTTATGCTGTTTCACTATTTTTCCCATGTGGTAGCACTTTCCTTAGAACAAACACATAGAGGAAACTGAAAAAAGGATGATAATGCAAAACATTGTGAACCACCTTGGGGTACTGTACACCATTTGGAACCTTTTCCCATATTAGTCAGGCCACTATTAGAGGGGTCATATTCTTGCAGAGCTCCGTCTCTCATATTAAATTTCACTACCAAGAGCAAACCTACTGCAGCACCCAAACAGTCCAACCAATCCTGGTCTGATTCAAAACAGTTGTTCAGAGCTGTACTGATCAGAGTAAAGCAGTACCTGCTCTAACCCCTTAATGATACAGGTTCCCTTCCATATAAATCACGGAGCTTGTAAACCAGCACAGGGTCGCAGAGGCCTGAAACCCACACCAACCGAAACTGGCAAACATGGATCAAACTTGTTCCACTGTGAAAAGGAGGAAGGAGGTCGATGAGACAATGACCTGATCTCAAATCTAAAATCAACATTAGTCTTAAGGGGAAAAAAAATACTACAGCTGAAGTAGTGAGGGAAACAGAAATACACTGGTCTGTATGTGACAAGAATTTGACAAGCAACATGTTACAGATGAAAAGAAAAGTAAGAGAGATATATTAGGACAGTCAGGATGTCACTTCCTCATTAAACCTGTGTGTAAACGTTTAGAATTTAACACAAACTCAAAAGATAGCTCCATGCAAAAAGAACTGGGATCAGAAACAGGAACTGGGCTTGTAGTATAATCGGGTGGTAGGAAGCTGCTTTTTCAAACAGGAACACATGAGGAGGCCGGTAAGGGGATTCATATGCTGATTCGGACAGCCTCAACATTAATCTTCCTGATGTTTGTTGATGCAAAAACGCTGTGTAAGCACCTAGTAAGAAAATGTCACTCTCAAATGTTCTGAGAAATAAAAAATAACGCATTGCAACATAAATGGCCCTAAAGGTTTGCAACTCTAAAAAGTGTGTTGTGCCTGCTGTCTCTGTGGGCTGGAAACGGCTCTCCTTCAAGATGGTGGGTCCTTGGTCATCGCGGTGTCTTTCCTTGAGCCCTCGGCCTCTTTCCTGTGCTTCCTGGCGTGCTTGTACTTGTCAACATAAGCTCTGACCAGGTTTGCAACCTTGACTGGGTTGATTTCTCCACTCTTGCTGTGGCACACCTAAACCAGATGAAAGAAAGTTTATTTTTTTGCAAACACAAGAATATAAGGGGATACCTCCATGCACAGCTGTTTCAATAGAAGACATACACGATAAAGACCGGGTGAATTAAAATGAACTATTTTGTTATTAAAACGTGTAGAATGCTACATCATAAAGGGTGTAGTGTAATATATTTATTTATTTTTTATTTACTAGACAGGAGTAGCAGAAAACACCTACCTTCTGAACAGCTTTCCGTAGAATGTCTTTGTATTCTTCCTTAGTGATATCTCTTTTCTGATAAAAAGGCTTAATTGCCAGTTTTACTTCTTCAACTGCCCTTTCTTGCATATGAAGCTTCTTTATGTACTGCAGAGAAAGAAATTATGTTACTACATACTGTTATTTACAGGACCAATTTTAATCACCACTTCACTTTATATCTACAAAAGTACTCAAGAGACTAGGCAATGAAAGATTTGTAGAACATCCAGCCATCAGACCGGCACAGAGGCTACTATTGTCACACGGTAGATTTACTGGAAGTCATATTTCTGGTTCTGCATTATGTAGCTTGGACAAACAAATGTACATGTACTGGAGGCACATTTCTCCATCTCTCCAAGCTAAAGAGGACAGGTCAGAGCCTACCAAAGGGTAAATTAGAGCGCACTGGTAGCTTTCCTCTTCTTTTTTTTAGCATTGAATAAACCTACTACCTATCATCTGAATTAAAGTTCACTTTGTGGCACTAGTTAGGTCTTCCTGAGCTTCTTAATGGTAAATCTATTGTAACTGACAGCATGCAGCTAGAAAAGAGCAAGTTGATTCTTGGACCTTAAGAACCCAGGTTATTATGTCTGCATTTAACAAATGTGTAAAAGTATCAGAGTTTATCAATTGTTTTTACATGCGCAGGATAAAACGTGAAATAGGAGTTAAAAGCACTCATGTACAATTAACGCTCATCTGTTCTTACTTTCTCATTCTTGGACTTGTCCACATCGCTAACGCTTTCTGGTGCTCTTGGCTCATCCTTCTGCGCAGATGGGACTTGTGCTCCTGGCTCCGACACACCTGCCTTGAGGTCAGAGCTAGAGGGACAGGTCAGGCTGGTTGCGGAGCCTGCGGTCGCCAGGTTGCCCTGCATTATGTACTGGGCTGTGGACTCGCTGACCACAGGGGCATAAGGCAGAGACCCCACGTGAACGGACGTGTCCAAGGGAGCAGGTTCGGCAAAGTCCTGAAGGTGGAGAAATTTTAAAAAAAAATCAGATACAAAAAATATCAGATACAGTTTGATTGCACACACACATAAGACATGAAATGAATAGCAGTGTGCTCTGCGTGAAAGGAGATGAAGAATGAAGCTTCACAAACTCCTGAAAGACGGCAAGACTTGTGTTCTTGAGATATAACTTCATTGTGTATTTATCTTTCTTATGCTTTTATTTAAAATGTTTCAACAAATTAAAACCACAGCAGGAGTTTAACAAAATATTTCAGTTTAAGATTAAATGTATTGTGTGAAACCAGTTTGTTTCTCCACATTCTATTGTAATTTCCTGCCATTTATGAGGATCTGAGGTAATGGACATATTTGCTTCCAGTGCAAATATTATAAGTGTGCTCAGTGCAGTCAGGAAACAGTTTCCTGTTTGTGTTAAGTTACGTATATCTGTCTAATCAAAGTTGTATACAAACAATTATTTCATCTGTGAACCGCGAGGTATAAACATCTTTAAGGAAAATACACCAGGCCACTGGCAAGAATAATTAAAGAGTTCCTTCTAAAACATATGAACAAAAAGTTAAATTGGAACACAAATGTTTACTTATATCAGGGATATGCATAATTGATAAGCAGGTACACATTTACCAGTGTTTTAAAAATACATGCTTAAGTCTTTTATACTGTGCAAATGCATGATTGTTCCTTTATCAAAAAGCATTTCAAATCATCATGTATGCTGGTATGTGTACAAGCCGGAGGGGAAGAGCGAGAGTTTTATACAAGGAAGATGAAGAACCCTTTATTCCCAATGGGTATGCATGGTTTCTAGATTAAGGACACAATTCGAAAAACATAAATTTGTTAATGAACAGAAATTATTAAAGATATACAAATATTAGCTGTGACATGTTTTTCTAACTATTTGCGATTTTTAAAATGGTAAAACTACGAGAGCTGGTCTGTTCCCATAGCATTAAAAAAAGGATTGTTTTACCTTCGCTACACAGATTACATGCAATTTCAATGGCTAGATAGTAAACTTAGGATACACCATTGCCAAAACTAACCCGCAATGTTTACAAAGCATCTTTAGTTCTCTGTTCCTTCATGAATTTATTGTTAGGTTGCTATACTGCAAGTGTGTGATTTAATTTTGCTTTATTATGACAGATTGGATGAAACAGTAAGTTGCCCAGGATAAAGACATCCGCTAAGCATATGAACAAGGAACCGATACTCCCTCAAACCTCTTGGCAACATTTAGACAAAAACTTCCAAAAAGGAGAATTCTAAAGCATGAATGAGAAAGTAAAAATTGATCTGAAGGTCATTAGCACAAAACAAGCAATTACCAGACACTAGTTACAAGCATCTGAGCTGGTGAACTGGACAGACCAAAAGCAGTGTTTGAAACAGCAAACAGCTGCCTCAGGTCCCTAAGCCCCTCAAGGTGAAACATCTGTAAATTGTTTGTTGAATTTAGGGTAGCGGGGGATCCGGAGCCTATCCAAGCAAGCAATGGGTGCCAGGTTGTTACACCCTAGATGGGACGCCAGTCCACCACAGAGCACACACATACGCTCACACCAGGGCCAGTATTACCAGAAGCCAGTTTAACTTTGAGCATGTCTTTGGACTGTGGGAGGAAACTTAAGCACCTAAAGGAAACTCACTCAAACACAGGGAGAACATATAAACACTACACAGATCCCGCTGCAGGTCCTGAGTTGAACCCAGAGTCCCAGCGCTGTGAGGCAGCCATGCAAATGTTTAGAATACAAAGGGGACGTGATGCAGGGGAACACTTCATAAAACACTTCTCAAACTAATAGTTTGAGAATAATTCTGAATTGTATTATTTACAATGAAAAAAAATAGTATTTTGACATAGTATTTTAATAAACAGTTCAGAAGTGTTAGACTCTTGGAAGTTGTGATTTTGATCACATATGATTGTCCAGTAAGGTATTGTTTAAATTTAGCTTTATGTAGCCTGCATAATACCTTTTTTTAGGCTATAGTCTTATGAGTGAGTTTAGGTAAAACTGATGTACAAGTGTTCATGACATTTGTCAAAGCGCATGTTACCATTATAGGGTGTGTTGGGCTTAGAGCCATGCTTAAGGTTAGGATTTGGGTTAGAGTTGGAGGTGGGTTTTGGGTTACTAAACCTCTGCACCAGTTGAGTCTTTTGGATGGATGGTCATAAAATGTAGCATCTAAGAAGGGCTTCGTCTTCTCAGGGCACAATTATGCAGGCTACACAAAACATAAGTCAAGCATTTCCAATTGTTCCTGTATTTGATACACCTCCATACTGCCTTGGTGTCCCTACATCTTCATGTCAATTGGAAACGGCATTGTTTTGTCCAGATTGACCCTAATGTCATGCTTCTTTCTGGTGAGGAAGAGCACAACTGACTTGTCTGATCAGAGTTGAAGGAGCAGAGCTACACCTGCTTACTTAAAGGGAACATGCATGCAATTCCGATTAAATCCCCTAAAGAAAAACAAGCGTGGAAAATGAAATTAAGAAAGCCTGTTTTGCTGTACTGTTATATTCAGAATAGCTGAGGAACGCATCTACAATCCAAACCCCTGGATCTCTTAAGGGAGATGAAATAAAGACTTTTATTATCACCATTAGCACCAACGTTTGTGTTCAGTTTCAACTGATTCACATTCACAATGTGGAGAAACAAACTGTAAAAACATGTTAATTATATCATAGTATCATAATATACAGATAATATATGTCTAGCAAAAAAACTAACCAATCGTGACTCGGCTAAACAATTTCAAGAAATTTCTTGAAATTTCTTTCACAGAGGTATTTGCTGTTGTTAAGATGTTTTATCCCCTTTAAATGGTATAAGATATTAGAAATATTAACATGAAAGTACTTAAGATTAGACTCAGGTACTTAAGATTAAATAATTAAGATTAGACTCTCTTTCACAGACTCCTTAGAAATTATGACAATTATGGTGATACTTTAATCAATCAAATAAAGTGAAAATAGTTATGTTTACATATCTACTTCATATGTACACTACATTTCTAGGATATAAACAGTACAACTAAAGCACATGAGAAACTTTCCTGAAATGCTACAATTTTACAATTTCAGTTTCAGTTTCAATTTCTTCAGACTTCACTGAGGGTTTTACTTTCATTTCTTATGAATCTGCACAGCCTGGCTGTGTTCAGGTTACGGGTTTTGGCAACATGTTGTCTCACATTGTCCTCGAGTAACTCTCTTCTACTTCCTTTTGCATCAGAGGAAAAAATACTGAACTTGGCAAAACCCTGCTGCCACCTAGTGCTCTCCACCACAACCTTTCAATATATCAAGCCCAAGTACTGATGTACATGTAACCAAACCAGGCTCTTGTGGTTTCATGGGTAATTAAAATTTATTTTACAATTAAGTTCTAAAAGAGACCCTAAATCTCTCTCTTTAACCCTTTACAAATTTATGGAACCATGTTATTGCAATAAAAAATTAGCCACATTTAAAAACTCTCCATCTAAAAAAAATAGCTCTGAAGAGCCTGGCTTTTGGCGAGCTGATCACATAAGTTCAAAGATGGTTGAATGGAAATCTAATGATTACAGCAACAGATGAAAGTCCTGGAGCCCTTCACTTAAAATAATGTTCTTCACTCAATCATAGTGTTTAATATCATTTAATAAACTATTCAACCACACCCTCCCGGGGTGCTGTCTTTGAAAAGTAAATACTGAACAAACCATTTGATACTTGGCGCCAGTTTACATAGAAATCAGAATACTGGAATTACAGGGATCTTTTTACTTTATAGTTACAGTACAAGCAGCCTTTCCATCAAGGTTAAAACCCTGTACCTTCACACAGAGATGCTGAGCTTCTCTGGAAATATTCAGAAGGGTTTTTACTTTTTTTACTGTCTTCTGGTAAAAATAAAATAAAACAGCACAAGCTAAGCACCACAAATGTTTATTAGACTCATCTTAATTGTTGTGTCAAATAAAAAAAAACTACAACTGATAATGAGCAGTGAAGTATTATTTTTTCAGTGGGTAGTGGAAAGACATCTCCCGTGCTAAAATTGTGTTGTGTTGATAATTATGAAGATAAGGGATAAAGGTTCACTGAACACTAAGTTGTGTAAACAAGGAACAGTAATGATTTTAGAGGGCAACAGTTATAGCTACAGACAAAAGTATTTGAGCTGTTCCAAAAAAGGAAAACAAAATACAAAAAGTAATTTAAGTTAATTCACATTGCCCTACTGAAATGTAAAATTTAGATTCAGCTAAAACAATAGTCCATGGCATGCACAAAATGAAAATTTCATAATGCGTCAGATTTGGTCAAATTATGTCATAGAAACACTTCAAAATTAACAATGAATGATTTACAAAACCATTATTTGGCAACTACCAAAGAATAATTAATTAGTATGTGCTGCAGCTCTTGATCTATGATATTACACAGAAATATAATAAATCATGATAAGCATGATTTAAACAGTCAAGCCACTTGCAAAGCATTTTGCTCCAGAGAAAGTTATACATACTTTTTCTCTCATTGCACAAATCTCATTCACAGAAATGTTTAAATGACATGTAATTGTTTTCCCCACATTCTGCCTCTAGGTTAATTAGCATCACATCTTCTATGCAAATGGTCAAAACATTCTTGCATAGTAAAAAAAAAAGTTAAGGATGCCAGCACTCTCTTTCTGCAACTGAGCAAAAAGAAAAGTATTTTCTCTTAAACTTGGATTGGAATGAAAGTGGACAAAAAGCAAACCAAAGACGTTCTCGGCCACAAATGAGATGAAGAGACGTCATCCATGAGAATTTAAGACAAGCTTGGCTATATGGGGACCAACCTGTGAGGGATCTATATCAGGAAACATAGGCTGAGGGATCATGTAATTTGTTGGAGGAGGTTCAATTAACTGCACCTGATTCAAGGCCTGCCTGGATTCCGGTGCCTTGCAGAGTCCATCTTTGCTACTTTGCTGCGGTTTAAAAAGCGAAACTTCTAAAACACAAGGAGAGAAACAGTAACATAATGTGAAAATGGCTACAGTAGTTGAGCAAAGCTTTCTTGCACATTCAACTTGCCAATATACTAGGGACCCCAAAAGTCTCACCTTCCTTGACCAATACAATGCCCCACATTCCCACATTATAATTCAACTGAAAACGGGAGAAAGAGGAATGTGCTGTTCAATCCCACACATCTTTGCCTACACCACAACCTTAACCGAGGCCCAGCACATTTCCAATGGAGGCTCCTAGTATTGTGGCCAGTAAGGGATACATTGTTCACTGTGGACACCTAGCACTGAAGGAACAGAAACCATACTGGGATTTATAGAAAAAAAACTTCCTTCATGGAGAATATATCTGATCCAACATTCATTCTGCAAAAGCACTTCTTAGAAAATATGGTCAGGTTGTCAAAGTCTTGGTAAGACACAGTGAAGCAAATGTATTTGAGTTCAACTTACTGCCTGTCTTTTCTGCTGAGGGCCCATCTGAATCCTGGAGATTCCAGGTCACCCTCTTCACTGGCGCCCTGGATTTGGAGGTAGCAGTCACAGGGGATGGCACTACCTCAGGTTTGATGGTGGCATCGTCTTTTTTAATTGCTGTAACTGTGTCAACTGCAGGTGCACTGACCTTTATTGGTTCAACCACTTCATGTTTTATTAAGTCTGTGGTATGAAGGATGTAGTCAATGTTGACCTTATCTGCAGAGTGCTCTTCATTTTCTTTTTTATTAGGTTCTGTTTCATGAAAAGCTGCACCAGGAAGATTTTCAGATGTGCCAACTAATTTAGGCTTGTAGTGTTCATCTACAGAGATAGGCTGGGCAGAAAACACCTCGTCTTTAACTGAGCCCAAGAACTCATCTTCACATGAAGAGCATCCAAACTCTTTAGGCCAAGTTGGCTCCATTTTAACCTTTGCCTCCAAGACCACATCCATCTTGCTTTCCAAATCACATTCATCTATTTTTTTCCTTTCCCCTTTAGGGGTGGATTCATTCACCAACTTTGGAACACCAGGCTCATCCTTCACAGGAGCAATGAAAGCAGGCTTTTCTTTCAGGTCTTTAGATTCCTTCAAAGTCTCTACAGAAATCTTTCCTAGTTTCTGAGAGCCTCTCTCTCCCTTCCTTTCTATGGACTGTGACATTTTTCCACATGTTTCACTCTTCTTTTCTCTAGATCTCGATCTCTGCCTTTGTCTCTCTTTTGATCTTGACCTGCGTGCCTCTTTTGACCTTGAAGTGGATCGAGACCTCGACCTGTCTTTCCTCCTCTCCTTAGATCTGGATCGAGAGCGTCTGTACTTCTTGTCCTTCTGCCTTGAACCACTGCCTTTGCTTTCATACCTCTCACAGCTTCTTTCTTTCTTATGGTTTTTCTTTTTAGCTCTTTCAGAACTGCTGGAGCAAGATTGCCTCCTATCTTTCGATCTGGACCTGGACCGCCTTTTCTTTCTCGCCCATCTCTCTGAGATCTCAGGCGAAGAGCTTCCTGAATGGGAGTGGGACCACCTCCTCTCTCTTGACCTCAAGGGATTCTTTTCCCTATATTTCACTATGGCAGACTTTTCCTTTGTGGTCTCTGAACTACTAGACCTGCAGCATTCATCAGAGGCCAACCTTGCCTCTGGTTTTGAACTTTGTTTCCCATCAGATGAAGAATGGGGGTACAACTCGGATCTTGAGTTTGACCTTGATTTATGATCTTTGGCTTCAGACTTTGTTTCCAACTTAATTTTCTTTTCGGAGTGAGTACTGGCTGGAGAGTTAGATCTTGAATGAGCGTCCTTTTGAGGTAGTCTTTTTTTAAGTTCAAGTGTTTTGTGTGTTGTATCAATTCCACCACCAGCAGAAGCACCATGTTCTCCATCAGACAAAGGCTCGGTGATTAAGATCTTAGATTTACAAGCAATTTTTAAGCCATTCCCAGAAAGCCTGGAATGTTTGTTACACAAGGATTCTTTCCTTTGCTCAAAATTGGGTTCCACATCCTCTTTTTCATCAGTGTCACCATGCACTCTTTCAGTTTTAACCTGGTGTCCAGCACCTGTTTTCCTTTCTTCAAGGAAATTCCAGCTGGAGGATGGCAGTTCTTGCTCCCTTGATGTGGAATCCTGGATGCTGTGGCTCATTTTTTCAGTCTCTGAGCTTGTGTTCAGAAATATATCAGAGGCGCTTTCAGAAGAGCTTGAATCAGAGCCAGTGGGATCAAAGGGGTCATAGATTTCACTTTTTACAGCCTTCTCTCTCTTTTCAGGTTGTACAGCTGGCAAAGACTGTTTGCCTTTGCTGTGTATCTCCCATGGTTCATCACCTGTGGGTTTCAAAGATGTACCGAAAACCCCTCCATGAGCAAGCCTCCTGCCATGCCAGGAGTTTCCACTGGCACTTATTCGGAAGCTTACAGTAGAACTAGGACGGGTCTCTGAGCTGCCAGAGGAGCAAGAGTAGGAAGAGGACGAAGATGAGCCTCCCTGGCTTTGCCTCTGCCCCTCACTCCTGTCAGTCCTATTCTGATTGCTCCTCACATCCCTCTGCCCTACTGTCTGCTGTCTGCCACCATTACCCGTGAGGTTATTCATGCATGAATCTGGTATTCCACTGCTGTTACCATCTCTGGGTTGAGAGATGCCCATGTCTTCCCTTTTAATTTTTGGTATCCTAGGGAGTTCAGACACATCTACCCTAACGGGTCTCAGTGGGACCTTTCTGGCAGGCACGATAGTGCTTCTTGAGCATGGATCAGAGTTGCTACCCCTGTAGTTCAGAGAACATGGACCGCTGTTGCCATTTCTTAGGCTTCCTCCTGGTGCCGTGAGGCTAGCCAGGGGATTGGGCTGTGGAACGGCCGAGGTCAGCAACCGGATCGAGCTGCTTCCCGAAGTAGCTGATCGCACATTATGAGACTGCGACCCCAACTGCACCTGTGGCTTCGGTGACACTGGGGGTGATAAAGAGCCATTCGACGCAAACAAGCAAAACGAAGCAGATCCTTCAGGGATGTTACAAGGGGATGAAGATGAAGGCAATTCGTTATCTCCACTAGAACTAAAGGCACTTGTCTTGGAGCACGTCGACCACGTGGCGCTAACTTCTGTTGCCAAACCCCCGACTCTACAAACACTGGAAACGCTTCTCATCTGTGTCGAGATAACTGGAATAAAGCAAAATAAAATCCATTGGAAAAACTGCAAATTTAATCCCATATTTACCATTATTGTGGAAACATTTTTAATTAAATAAAGCACGTACTTTTACTGTGAAAAAATGTTTTTGCTTGCATGCTATTTGTTCAAGTTGAGAAAGCTTAATTTATGTATATGAAACATGTGAATAACCCTGGTGCACACATACAGTAATATTGACATGCTGCTAAAAGCAACTGTATGTGATTTTTATTTTTCTGGTTTTGATCTTCTCCTCCGCACTTTGAACAAGCACCCTTGGTGGCTGAGGCACTCTTTAAAGACACTAATCTTTTTATTTTACAACTGCAGACTGTGCAACAACGTGGCACTGAGATGTTTCAAAATGCCACTCACAAACTGCAATTTGTAAAATAATTCAAGTCTATCTGTACTAAAAAAAGCTCATTTTTAAATCCATCTGCAAAAACAAACCAGGCATACCCACATCCAAATCTTTCTTCATTGGCTTGATCTAGTAGTATTTTAGGAAACAGAAAAACTGTACACAATACCTGGTTTAATGGCTTTCAAAGAACCATCTCTGTTGATGACAACATCAGCACTGTCCATCATAAGCAAGCTCTGTCCTGACAGGATGCTGCCCAGCAGGTCTGGAACGGGTGCTGCTTCTGTGATTACCTCAGCTTCTGGGATACTAAGTGCCCTTCTGCCGTTCAATGACACCTGACATTAGCTTTTCAATGCAGTGAGAAAATACTATTTAGTGAAAGTATGCTATTTGTCCGAATAGAATGCTGCAGCTCTTCTGCTCCCATATATCACGCCTGAACCTGGCTTATCTACACATTGTCAAGGGAGAACAAAATGTAAACATGTACATGTTTATCCAGTAATTATAATATTTTGTTTACCTTTTAATGTGATTAAACTGCAATGATTGTGATTAAATTACTTTAAATCATTAATTCCTCAGGTTGTGCAGGAAATGGAATTACATTAAAATGATAAACATCTGTTAAGAATTTTGAAAAATCTGCAACTTCACCTGCGAAGTTCGATTGAAACAGGTCTGGCAACAGGTTGATGAGACTTAAGAGCTGACTGAGAGAGACCTCGTCTTTTAACTTCAAAAGGAGACAAGGGGCTTGAAGGCTGTTCGGTTGCTTCATTTCTGTGAAAAAACAAAACCCAAGTCAAAAGGGCAGTAAGCACACAACATTATTAGCCTAAATGCCATATTCAGCATTTTTAAGAAATAAAAATTTTAGGTTTGTAAAACAGGAAAAATGCCTTGAACACCTATAATATATTTCACAATACAGGCTTTCTAAAACATTGTTTCTTACTTAACACTGTGACTGACCAACAATGACCTGCTGGTGAAACCTCCACCATCCATCCATTTTCTAATGTCTTCTCCCAATACAGGGTCATGGGGGAGGTGGGGCACACCCTGGACAGGATACCAGTCCACTGCAGGTCACACACAGACACAAACGCACCCACACACAAGGGCTCATTTTCCCTGAAGCCAATTAACCTACCAGCATGTCTTTGGACTGTGGGTGGAAACTGGAGCACTTGGACACTCCAACACGCGGAGAACATACAAACTCCATGCAGACAGCGCCCCAGGTCCGGAACTGAACCCAGGGTCCAGCTTTATGAGGCAGCAATGCTGACCGCTACACCACCATCTCCACTGCAGATTAATTTTGAATACACCCATAAACAAGACATACCCATCATCAAAAGGGTCCAGGTCAAAGGGGTCTCCATAGACGGAAAGAGAGGCTGCACCAATGTCTGCTCTCATGGCGCCCAGGCTGGGGTCCACGGGCCGGTACACAGAGGGAATGGAGGACCCACGGATGGGCTTCCCCATACCAAGGCTTTTAGCAATACGGGCCCGTGCAGTGGGCTCCTTCGGCAGCTGCTGAGGAGACACACAGAGGTGGCTTTGAATGGCAACCCAGTCAGGCCATGCAACACAGGCCATTCTGAATTACTGAGCTCCAAGTTAAAAACCAGATCTATTTAGCTTAGTTACTTAGTCATAAACTTGTAAGAGAAAAAAAAAACATTAAAATGGCTTTTGATAAGTAAATCCTAACAAAGCAGGGGAAAGCAAGAACACAAAAACAAATCAGTGTCATTTTGAAGACCAGCAAAAGAAACATTGTATTTACATCAGTGGAAGTTACATAATTTACAATGCAAACTTTTCATTTCTATTTCATAATAAGCATTTATAGGCTGCCTTAATGCGATTCAAAAAAAAATATTTCTGTAAGACTAGAAGACTCTTCAATGTTAACAACATTAGCATCAGTCCTAAGCTGTTTAACACATTGGTTGCACAAATACAATACACATAAGTGCAATAACACAAGAGTACAATTCAAATTCACATAAAAAAACAATGCGATGCTTACTTACACTGAGATGTGGAATTGCTGATATCTATACATTATGACTGCACATGCAGGCACTTGTCAAACTGTAACCATGTAAAATACAACTGTCACAAAAATCTGGAAAGACCTTACAAGGCGATAACAGGACGTAAACATATTTTTATGTAACAGAGATCATTTTTGATCACAACTACCAGCTCTGGGAAATAAAGTGTGCCAAAAATCAAGTGGTGAGCAATCCATCTATTTGCTCTTCAGGCTTGAATGGGTCCTTACCACTTTCCTTCTGGACCTCTGCTTCTTCAAACGTCGCCTCCGTCTTTTTGTGCCCTTAGTTCTTGTTCCTCCGGCGGTTTTCGATCGAGGCTTCTTACTTTTGGTTCCCCTTCGCTTCACTGTGAACAACATTAGCATCATTCCTAAGTCCTTTAACACATTGGTTGCAATAATGTGATGCACAGTAGTTGGGAAACACAAGCGTACAATTCAAATACACATCAGAAACAACCAAAAGAAATAATCTCAAACTAAACAGATAATAAAAAATAATCACAGACTAAAGAGATTAGTCAGGCTTCATAAATTGGTCTGGCATCAGCAAAAACTGCATCACTCTCATTACCTGTCCTTCGTCTTCTTGTAGTTCCAGCTCGAGGAGTGAGCGGTCGGACATACACTGCCGTGTTCAGACCCGCAACTACAGCGTCAATTGTTTCTTCGAGCAATGAGGACTCCATCAGGTGCCTGGGCACGTGCTAGAATTAAAGACAGGGTAGACAGTCACATTGTTCCCCATACAAAACGGACACCAGAAATAATTGAACATGAAAGGCACTACATAAAATAAAGGTTATTAATAGTACTGTCTCAATGAAAATTGCAATTTGTTTTATAATGGGATGAGAGGAGATTGTTTACGTGACGACTATGATGCTGATCCTACCACACAGTCTGCTCCTTTTAACAAGGCCATACACCACAAAATAAAGCAGTTGGTTTTCAGCTTCCAGCTCAGCCAGCCCTCGGGAAGCCGCGCAGGGCCTGGATACCTGCATGTTGCGGGCCTGCGAGATGCGGTTCCTGTTGACATTAGCGCGCACTCTCTCACTCTGCCGGGTCCTGGCGATGGCGCGGGTCTGCCCGGTGGTGGCCCGCAGGCGGCTGGTGGAGGGCACCACGTCTGCCATCAGCACAGCCACCTCGTCCTCGTTCACGTCCTCTTCTTGAGCTGCAGGAAATGAGCCACACGCTTAAATTCATGTGCAGCCTTGGGATGGGTGTGATAGCATGCACAGTTTTTACAGAACCTTCTCTTCCCTCTGCTTTGGCTCATCTAGACAATATAAACACCTGCGGCGTATTACTATTTATAGATTATAGTTCAGCATTTAATACTATAATTCCATTCAAGATGGTCATCAAGATCTTGGAGCTGGGACTTAATATTTCTCTCTGTAACTGGATCCTGAACTTCCTGACAGGCAGACCTCAATCTGTGAGAATAGGCAACATCTCCTCCACTCTGATCCTCAACACAGGATTCTTCCAGGGCTGCGTGCTCAGTCCCCTGCTCTACTCCCTGTTCACCTACAATTGTGTGGTTAGACATAGCTCCAACTCCTTCAAGTTAGGGGACAACACCACTATTTTAGGTCTGATCACAAATAATGATGAAATGAGTACAGGAAAGAGACTGAGGACCTGGTGCTATGGTGCCAGGACAACAAACTCTCCCTCAACATCAGCAAAACTAAGAAGCTGGCTGTTAACCTCAGGAAGCAGAGAGTACACCCCACCCTTGCCTATATGAATGGGGCTGCTGTGGAAATGGACATTCAAATCACCAATAATCTGACCTGGCCCCATGACTTCGATGAAGTAATCACGAGAGCACACCAGTGCCTCTACTTCCTCAGGAGACTCAGAAGATTTGGTATGCCTTCACAAATACTCACACAATTCTACAGATGCACTATAGAAATTATTCTCACTGGAATCATTACAGTTTGGGATAGCAAATTGTAAGTTGATGAACACAGAAAACCACAGAACGTGGTGGAGACAGCTGAGGTCATTACTGGTACAGAACTTCATTCCATCCAGACCATCTTCACCACGCACTGCCTCAGAATGGCAAATGATATTATCAAAGACCAAACCAAACTGGCATAAGATTTAAGAGTATAGAATCTGGACTTCTATGTTCAAAGAAAGCTTCTTTCTCACAGCCATAAGACTCCTAAAAATCACCTCTTTAATTCCCCCAGCCCCACTTATACTACTGTTTTTTGCACTAAACTCAAAATACTGCCACCACTTTAATTCTGATGCTTCCTAAGATTATAGCTGTAACCACGTTCCTCTCCCCAAGAACGTGTGATGTTACTTTCTATTTAATCTTTGTCATCTTTTAATGTAACCTGTTGTGACATTTGTCATGTGAGGAAACACTGCATTGTACTCAGGTACACATGACAAACATGCACTTGGATTTTTCTGGCACAGAAAGAGGCCATGTGTCAGGCTGGACAACCATGCCCCCTTTTTTAAAATGGATAAAAAGTACAGGGAAACAGGATTATGATCAAATGGGAATATGAAAGTGCACAACACATGATTACCTTGAGATGGATTATTTACAGCACATTCTGGGCAAAACCATTCCTCTACAGGAACTGCATCCAGAGGAGGAACGAGACATTCCATGTGGTACCTGAAACAAATCAACAAGATGGAGTCGCTTCAGTCACTTCCCATCCACATCAGCAAGAGTGTAAACCGCTGAAGCTTCAGAAGAAGGTGAATGTTTACATTGAAGAGTAAGAGACAAGTAAGACACAGCTTCAGCTGTGGAGCTCTCTGTGGAGGCCAGAATAGCAATTCGACTGGGTGAACAGTGATCGGCTCATCCCACGGGTTCCCAGATTGCTGCCTTTCACACTTTCCTTGGATTTCCAAGTTCTTTCACTTCACAGCTGAAAATCTCAGGTCCTGACGGGCCAGATTCAGAACCCAGCAGGCTTTCTGGGTCTCTTGACCTCTCCAAGAGCTGAAGACCCCTGAGGAGTGTTAAACTCAGGGAGGTCATCAAGAACAGAGGAGGGGTGAAACCTTCCAGAGCTGGAGTTGTGAACCCCTGCTTCACACTTCACGTCACCCCCAGCCCTTTGTACCTTTTCTTCAGCTCATTCCTGCCTGGCTCCCCCTCTCCTTTAGAGGAACACTCATGAACTGAAACTTTGTAACATTCACTTTCTACTCCTCTCCATGGAACTAAGCAATTCTTGTTTCATTAACCTAATTAGATCAACTCAAAGTAAGAGTAAGACCCTTAAACCATTTCTTCAGTTTAAATACTTAATCCTCACAGCGCACCATTTTACCTGATTTTCTGAACTGTTTGGTAACAGATAAAAAAAATTCTCAACTTAATTAGATATACCTTCACTTTACCAACCTAGATCCACACCAGTGGAAAAATACATGAGACTGAATAAAAGCAAACTGGGACTTACTGTCACCACTCAGAACACGGCATTTCAGGTTTTTGCCTCCAGTGAGAAAAGTACCTTAGTGCCTAGTGTTTGTTCACACACCAGGCTTGGGGCTGGCCCAGCTGCTGCCCTTACCCAGCATCACAGCCATCGCAGAGCAGCAGGCGATCTTCGCGGTCACTCCTTCCACACACCTCGCAATTTGTCTGCTCATCCACCTCCTGCTCGCTGGTCTTAGCGGTGGTCTGAATTGGTATCTTGACAGTAAGACAAGAAACTGCCATCAGAACTGCACATAATCTCTGCAAACCCCAGTGACAGACCTGTAAGTCCCCCAGATTTGGCTCCAGAGCTTGTCTTGGCTTTTAAAATGATCCTATTGGCAAGTTACAACATGACCTAGCTTTGCACTTCGTCTTTGATCACAGTGACGCTTATTTTCTGCGGTGTGACACACATGATATATTGGCCTCACTAACCAACACACAAATGTCAAGTCCTGGTGTTACGAGGGGAACTGCAATGCTATTTTTATATTACGGAGTTAGAAAGAATCTGCTTTGATGAGTGTATATCAAATCACAACGAAAGTAAAATGTACACAGCAACATGTAAAACTTCCAATTTACATCACAAGATAGACAAGATTTCCAGGTATACACAGCACCATATCCTGCGATTCAGAACAGGGCAACCAAACTTCCTGTGACATGTTGAGGCCTCTTACTTGTAAACAAGCGGGCTTGTGAAAACATCTCTTCTAATCCAATACAACTATCACTCTCAACTTTGAAATGGTTTTGCCGATAAATACCCCTTACTTGTTACCTCTGCATGCAGATCATGTTGGAAGATTTCTGCGGTGCAATGTCTGCTGCACAAACTGTACTAATTTGCATCTACATCACATTAATCATCACGGAGACTAGTGAGCAGGAAAGGCAGCATCACGTCACAAATTTGTGTGAACTCATGCTCTTGCCCATTGCAAGACCAGCAGTTTATGCCAACAATGGTGACTGTTACGACCCCATGGGTCTAGGGGTAAAGGGGTGTAAACATTTAGGATGATTTTTGGATGCAGATGGGTTCTGGTGAGGGACTAGCAAGTGATGGTGCAAAAGTGATTACTATAAGGTGAATAAATGACTGGTATGTAATAAGACACAATAACACACAGGGGTAGGGAACTAGAGTGGTGCCAAAGAAAAGAAAATAACAAACAAAATGGAACTGGCTAAGAAAATGAGGGAAGCTAACCTAACTACAAAAGAAAACGTGAAACACAGCGTCTTCAAAAACCCTAGCTAACTTTCACTGACTACCCAAAACCATACAAGACAAATGGCACTCACCCATACTAAACTAGGGTGACTAACACAAAAATAAACTAAGTGTGAAGAACGTTCACTATTCAACTGTTCTGTTCAAAGTTTATTTAGCAAATGCACAACAATACGGCGTGCAGCAGTAGTTGCTGGCAATTAAATGTCTTTTTCTGCGAGCTCACAAAAATACCCAACAACCTAAACTAACCCCGTACACAAAAGTGAACTACGAATACTACGAATACAAACGAGAGTAGACCCAAGTAACAGGGTACAAAAGAAAACAGAGGTTGAACATATAACAAGTCTGGGCAAGGTAATGGCAAAATTAACGATTAACACAAACAAACGAAAGTACAAAGAGATGAACAGAAACCAACAAAAGCCAAAGCTATACAAAAATACACACACACAAAGCAAAACAACAAAGCCAAAGCAAAAACCAAAAGTGAAATGAAGCAATGCAAAACCAAGCGGGACCGAAGTCAAACGAAAGGCCTCTTCCTTCTGAAAACCTCTAACTTATATACTAAATAACCTGTACTCTGGCTGAGAAGCTGATTGACGATGACATCATATGGAAACAATGGTGTAATGATGGACCAATGGGGGAGGGAGAACAATCAAGTTCAGGAAGTGTGGAACATAGCAACAAAACACACATGGACCACACACTGGGATGTAACAGCGACCATACAGTACCTTCACAATTTCATGCTTAAAATCAGAATTTGTAAAGTTTTGCAATAACAATAACTACTTTATTTTGTTATTGAGATTTAATAACCGGATATGAGAAATTGGAACATCACCTCTCCAAAGATCCTCACAATAACAAAACTAGATTTCATTCTGTGAAAAAGTGTTTCAGCAGATGCTGATGTTTCCAAGGTCAGCATTCACCTTGCCTTGAAAATACTCAAACTTAACATCTCCACAAGTTTTCATTTTATGCATAATGGGAATGATCATGCATTCCCATAGCATGACATCTGAGAAAAAGATTAGGTGAAGAAAGAGTGTACTCTATGTTTACAATACTATTTTATGCAATTTCATTTTATCAGATAACTAATAGTTTGCTGTTTAGAAAACATTTTCTATTTTCCTACAAAAATAGAAAATTCCACTACATAAAAAATTAAAGAAAAAAAGAGAAAAGTATGAAATCTGTAGCCAGTGTCACACTAAAGGATTTAAAAAATTGCACCTACTGTACCTTTCTTTGAATCTTTCCTCCATAACAAGACCTCAGGCATATATTTTTATAGACTAGTCGATCCACAGGACAAGAGTTTGCATTCTAAAGAAGAAGGGAAAGATGTTTATTGCCAATAGGAGTTGTTTGTTCAGACCACTATATAACATGGCTTCATGGATTCTCTAAGGTACCAGACCTGCAGCTGGAAAACTAACAATTTATATTCTGTCACTTCTTTTTGTAGATTTCCACTGAAAACGACTCATCACATGGATTTAAAACTACGCAGCTAAATCAATTCATTTTGGGGGTCACATGCATAGCCCCTTAGCATCATGTGAATTGCTAAAAAATGTATAAAACTGTTCTGAAACTAGGTAATCAAGAAAGAGCACATATATAGTTTTCTTTGATTAACTGCAAAACTGCAATTAACTGGCAGGTTTTTTAGCAAAACTGACCTTGCTAACAATTTTCAATCATTCAAAGCAGGTAAAAGAGCATTTTTGGTTAAATTACATACCCTAGACCACTCTAAGATGCAGTCCAAACAGAAAAAGTGTTCACAGTTCTCAGGCGTTCCCACAGCCTGATCCTGAAAGGTATTGAGGCAGATGGGGCATTTGTCTGCGTCCTCATCCGAACTCACGTAGCCTAGGCCAGAGCTGGACCCACCGATAGCCCCTTCCAGCTCCTTCTCATTATCCTCAGGCTCTGCACACACCATTACGGAGAAACCGTCAGCTGCATTCATGTTTACAAACACACTTTAGCTGGTGCTAAATAAAAAGGATGTGACTGGAAACCTTGTTACTTGTTGCCATCAATGAAAGACATTTTAAAAAAGCACAAAATAACTATTTACTTTATCATCTTTTACCTACTGTTCTATCTGTGCCTTGTTACCACTTTCATCAGGGTATGTGCCTGTTGTTTAACAGTGTTATTTGCAAAGTTAACTATTGTATTGCAGCAGTTACAGCTTTTAAATACTTTCTCACAGCTGTATGATTACTTTGCACTTATCTAGATTAAATTACATTTGCAGATGTCTTGAACAGTGTCTAAATATTTTTGTATTTCCAATAGTTTCCCACTCCTATTTTTACCTATAAATTTTAAGTGTACTATGCCAGCATCATGATACATTATACTCAATTAAGAAGAGCTGGGGCCCTGTTACAGATCCCTGTAATACTGCTGTAATTGTATCATTCCACTTACACACTCCTCTTACCATGACTCTCCCATTTCTGGGCAGAATTAACCATGCATGTAGCACGTCAACACCTATTTGTAACTACATCATTCAGGTTCAGAGCCAATCTTTGATATGAAACTTAATCATTTTCACAGCATATCCTTACCATCACTATCCCCCGCTTCGTCTTCATCAGCATTGGCGCCATTCTCTTCATCATCCTCTTCCTCACTGTCTGTCTCCTCTTCTTCAGAGTCCTCTCCCTCTTCATCACTGGGCTCGTCTGCAGGCAAGGAGAGGAAAAAAACAGGACATCACAAAATATACCGCTGCATGCCCTGCACCAGGTTGGAGTGTGGGAGGAAGGCCTGCTTGGTCCTCCTTCCCACCATGCAGCTGCAAGGGCCAAGGCGAGGAGTCCAAGGCAAGTGGGTAACGTCTCATACAGACAGCATAAAAATGGAATTCCACAGCACAAATACAATTTACACCTCTGCAGTTCTGTGGGGGGGTGGGGGATCACCTGTTAAGACATTGTTTGAAGCTGAGGATTCAAGCACATTTTAGAAGTCTTACCTTCATCAGTGAGTACAAAGACAGCTTGTCTTTTGCCTTTTCCTAGGGAGGCATTCCTGTTGATCATCTGGTTCTGGCTGTCATCATCATCCATGGCGGAGCATCAGAAAGCCACCCACTGCCAAACAAGTGTGCGTAGAGGGGTTAGGAAGACACCATGAATTTTTTTCTCACTTCCTTTCTAAAGCGGTTTTTATCTAATCCTTTCCTTACACTACTAAGTCAGCCAAGAACACACTCTCATGGACAATGATCCCTGAAAGACAGGGAAGACAAATCAATGAAACAGAAGCAGCAGGACATGGTAATATTAACAAGTGCAGATATCAGGCAGAAATAATTTAACCACGGATACAAATACACACATCCTCAGACATGAAAGTAGATGGTTTCTGCTCAGAAACGTCTTCAGATTGTTCCAGTCATCTGAAGCGGTCATGTTCAGTCTGGCTCAAAAATGGCAACAGTTCCTGGAAGGCTGAACTTGATAAAAGTGCTATGTCTGTAACTGTAAAATGGCAAAGAGAACAGTGGTGGTTTCAAACTCCATAATAAGATGTTTAGAGACAACCAATGAAAGAAAGATCATGGATGCAACAGAGAGGAAGAGCAATATTAGACCTCATGTTTCCCAGCAGCAGTCTATAATCTAAGATGGGGAGTAGAGACTTGTGTAGACTGAACTTGTGTAGATCCAGAGGAATGCGTAAAAGCTGATTTGCAGCAGTACTTGTACTTCTCCTTTAGCTTGTATGCTATTAATATGAGCTTGAAAGCAAAGCCAATGTGCGCCCAGATGTTTATACATTTCTAAGCAATGACTTGTTATAACCTCATCTTAAAATAAAAAGAATAATAAGAAAGAATTTCAAATCAGAGAAAGCCTTTTAAATGTTGTTAAAGTTCAGCTACAAGTAGTTATGTTATCAAATAAATCACAGAGTATGAAGTATTATTATTATTATCCCGGCGGCTGTCAGAGTGTATAACGCTGCCCGAGGCTAGGACTGTTAGCCCTTCATTTGCTCGTCTATGGACAGCATGTTGTTCCATTATACTTTTTGAACAATCAATCTGTATAAACCTATGCACATTGTGCACATATTTTATTGTTTTTACAGTGACTAGGATCATCATATTTTGCACACACCTATGTATTTATTTATTTTGTATATATTTTGTATAACTTTTCGTCTACTCTGATGTCTGTTTTTGCTTGTCTTGGGCTGGACTGCTGAAACACATAAATTTCCCTACGGGATCAATAAAGTCTTATCTATCTTCATGTCATTATAAATGGGCTGCAGCTGACTGGGGGGAAGCCCTGACCAGACTCCAGCGCCCCCTGGTGGACATCTGTAAAACTGGACACAGCCAGAAATTAATCCAAAAGTTGAAAAGGTGTCCAGTTTTGGTCCTGCAGAGCCCCATCCAGACAGGTTTTTCTAGGTCACCAACGGATCACCAAAGCCTAAAGGCTTGAAATAATTGAATGTAATTAAAATCATTTATAGATTAAGTGTTCGGGTCTTTCAGCTCTCAGGCACACAAGTAACATTTCTGCTCCTAGTTGCACTCAACAGAGATGGTTACGAGGGGATATGGTTCAAGTGTTTCAAATTCTCAAAGGCACCAACAAAATGAACACAGAATCATCAGTGAAACAAGCGATCTAGAGGACAAAAGCAAACTAATGGGAAGTGAATTTAACACACAAATGAGTTCTGTATATATTATAAAGCCACAGATTACACCAGCTACTGTGGAAAACAACAGCACAAAAACAAACAATATCAGCTGCAACCAGAGACAGAGTGTAGCTTCAGGGTAACAGGGAACCTGTTAACCACTACAAGTGGAGATCTGTAGGGACTAGACATGTCTTCTCAAACCACTTCACATGCTAATAACCCTCAGGGTGATTTCAACAAAACCTGCACTCGCCGCAAAAGAAGAGTCACTCACACAGCGGCACCTGTTGTGTGAAGCATCTCTGGTGAACATTGATCTTCTGTGTGGCCAACTAGCTGCACCCTGGCGTTTTTCCATAGAGCAGAGCTGCTCGAGGAAAAATGATCACAAAGAAGAATGATGAGCCAATCTTCACGAGATGTCCTGACTCATGGTCTTCCATACTGGCGGACTGTGTTCGGCTCCAACATCCTGCCCAGTTAAAAATCCTGGGCTGGGAACATCCCAACCTGCAGGGCCAGTCTGGCCTCCAGAACACAGATGGCACAGAAGCATTCTTCTCGTGATAAACAGGTCATTCCTTCCTTTCTGCTTTTCTTTCTTTTCCCCAGGAACAACATTCATAAAAGGCCGAATTACTCTGCCCAATCAACTCTCCCTCTAACAAGATGATTTACAGGTTAAGCAACAGTCAAGTAATTCAAGCATGACACAGGCAGCCAGGAAGGCTCAATTAATCAATATAACAAAAAACATCAAATTAATATCCAATAACCATCTGTTTTGCTAAAAACATTCACAAAGTGATGTTTTTTGTGATGCTCAATGTAATGAATTTTTAAATTAAACCATCCGATCTAAAATT